TTGGCTTAGTTTCAAGTTTTGTGACATTTCAGAAAAGTTGTTTACCAACGAGGCAACATGAGAAGCAAGGAAAAAAATGAACCGTTGAACACAGAACAAAAATCAACCAACTTTGGTAGCGATTGTTTTTCGTTAAACAAGTGGATGTGACATGTTCATCAAATAAGGTTATCCGAAAGTTCAAGTCACGCAAAACTTTTGCTACTCCATATAGTTTTTCTACTCCACATAAAATCAGGCGGATGATTCTTTTCCTTTCTCTAATTTGCATTCTGATTTTAAAATGGCTCGTGTGTTAACACTTCCTTAATCCATATGGCAACAATGTAACTATTTCCTCTGCATCCTGAATCTTGAAACTGGCTTTGAAGGTTGAGAATCAGAAGACTGCAACAGTCAAAACAACAATTTAGACAATGAAGAGGCCACTAAAAACATTTTTATCATGTAGTAGCCCAAACTACCTGTGATGTAGCAGAAGTTTGGTTCCTTGAATCTATCTGTAAATTATGGACACGTTCGACTATAGAACCTGTAAATGCCTGCACAAAAAATAGTAAATACAGTAACAACTCAAATAATAACTAACTGAATTGCTAAAGTAATGCATGGGAACATACTTTTTGATCATCAAATTTTGGTTTTGAACTTTGGAGAGTAACCTATAAAACAAGAAAGGACCATTATAACCAAGATTTGTTGCAAACTACCATTTGTGTGTGGAGCCACCCACATATGAATAAAACAGAGACTAATGCTACGTTTACCACATATTTATACCATCATTTGTACCATCTTTCTAATAACGGTAGGGCCTACCAACACATACAAGTCTCATTTGTGTTGGAGAGATGGTACAACTATGCAGTAAGAGTAGCATTTTATGGTAAAACAATGCTCAATGCTTATAGTTATAACTGGAATTATTCATACGATCGAGGCTCAAATCAAAAGTAATTGCTCTGTACCTGACTTATAGGTGATGGTACAGCTTGAACATCCTCAACTTTAGGAGGCACCAAAGCTTTCTCAGATTTACTTTTCATAGCATTCGGAAATATATTTCCACGTGAACTTGTCTCTGGGTAAATCATAATTAAGGAATCAATTAAGTAGTGATCAAAGTTTGAAAATGATACTACAGTAATTGGAGAATGTGGTATGTGTGCCAAAATAAAACATCATACATCTCCTCATACCAAAACTTTAAAAACACAGGTAGGGTATCACAAGTCTATGTATTAAACAAATTAACATCTTGTCCTGCCAAAACATGACATCTTAGGAATAGAAAGGCATGTCTTGACTCATGAGCACCTCACAGTACCAGTAGTAGAAAGGAGAATTATTTCTTAAAAAGAAATTACCAAAAGTAAGAAAGTTCGTCATTCTTGGCAATAAACTTCAAAAGCACATTGGCGGAGATAGAAAAAGGGGAAAGGTTCTACCTTTACCTAGGACAAGGTGTGAACTGCAAGGCACTAACACAATTTATCACTGTGAGAGAGAGATGTTAGTTACTAACCTTCAGGTATCGATTGCACTGTCAGGCCAGAACGCTGCAATATTAGTATCGAGATAAATTCAATAACGACAACTAACAGCATATAAGTGATTGCAACATTAACAAACAATTTTCTCAATAACATCTAAGACAAGTTAGGCAACTCATTAGAACAACAAGTGAAACTTTTTCTTTAATTAATATTTTATTTGATTGCTATAAAATTTATAATAAAAATTCAATTTCATTTTCAAGTTCAATGAATATATGACCCAGTCAGGCTCTACCCAGTCAATATCCCATTTTACAATTCTATTTGATTCTCAACGTTTATACTATGAGGTCAGTTTAAAATTTTAATAGTTTATCCTCTAAACTATACAATTTATAGGTTATGATTTGAAAAGAAAAATTATATGCATCACTTCGAAAGAAAATGGTCATGTTATATCGGAAATGATTTATATAGGTAAGACCTCTTGGTCCTATAAAACATATTGGGACTGCTGGCTCTTCTTGAGACATCCACACCTGTTCTATAAAATTAACTAGCACACTTATTATCTCTACCTGCACAAGAGGAACATGAAATGCCATCACTTACATTTCGCTGATCGATAAAACTTTCTTTGCTGGGAGCAATTGCATCATTTGTCTCTGGAGGTTTTCTTGGCATTGACTCCTATTTTATCAGTGATTAAAATTGAGTAGTTAGCCATTTTTTGGCTTGGAACAGAAATTAGTCACTACATATTCATGTGTTTTTATTATCATTTCGTCAACGTATGAAGACAAATGCAAAAGATTACCTCAGAAAACTTGCCATTCTGATGAAGAGATTTATGATCCGGAAACTGATGCAAGTCAACTTTAATTTTCTTGTTTTCATCACTTTCATTATCACTTTGCTCTTCTTCGCTTACTATCTCACTTTCAGCTTCAAGTTCTTCTTTCTCAAGTTCATCCATCCTGGCCAGTATACGAGCATATTCTTCATCTTCATCTGAAACTTTTGTATTGTCTGCTCCAGTAGAACTAGGAGAATCTTGCTTGAGTGGACCTGGAAAATAATTTACCACAATCACTTATTGACTTGGAGCGGCGAATCACTTTAGTGGGGTTCTCTTGGCACAAATTTTGATGAGAAAGTCAGGAGAATTCTAAAACCAGCATCAGATGCTTCAGAACCATTTGACAAAATAGGGTGTGTTTTTAATTACTTCCCACAAACAACAAAAGGTTAAGTTATCCCCCAGATGAAAAAATAAAAACAAAAAACAGAACACAGGCCCTTAACCCCAATGCAATGAGTATAAATGCAGTCTAAATTTCAACCTGGCTAAAAGTTGATAAAAGAATAGTTTTTTCTTATCGGCCAGCAAAAAAACTAATGAGCAATCCAAAATGCAGACAAAACTGATTCAGCCCTATGCACCTTGAAACACATTCTAACTTACTGAGGGGAACAAGGAAGAAAACCTGCCTAGCTCAGATTCTCCGTCAGAAGAACTTTCCTCCACATAATCTTCCTTTATCTCCACAAGGCCCTCCTGTGGTACAAGTATAAAAAAATATCAAGTTCATATACACACTGATACAAATTCCTTACAATAAACTGAATTTTTAGGGAATCAACTATCTCCGATATAAACACCAAAAATTTACAATTTAGCGAAAAAGAAACTTACTTACTAACCACTAAAAAGAACCTTTTGGGAACCCATAGCTATTGAAAACATATATATATAGTTTTTGTTATGCGCTATAACTAATAAAATGCAGTCGCTATGAATGTGACACATTTGCGACATTACCTGTCCTGCTGGTAATGTTATTGGCAAAGTTAAAAGAAAACTGCTGTTGACTAGTTTAAATTACTTTGGGATGCAAGCTTCAATGTAGAGACAATAAGCATTACTTTTTCGGTATATTGTGATTGTATTAGAAACCCAATTGAAAGGTACACTATGTCACACAAGCAAAGGAACAAAATTTCAACCATATTCAACAACGTATGGATAAGAAAAATTAGAGAGTTAAATTTGGGCCGCGGCCTCAGAGGCTGTAGAGTCAATAAAGGAAGCCTCGAATTTGAGATCAGCAAGAACGGCATTGAGGGAATCCACTTGGGAGTCCAATTCCTTCCCCCTCCTCATCAAAATATCCACTGTTTGCTTCGACGTCCTTTCCGCATAGTAACCTTCCCCTAGCAGAACCTGTAGCAAACAAGTCACTCAATAACACCCTGTTTGGCTGCTGTTGAGACAATCAAAACTACTCAATTTGGCAACAAGAATCTTACCAGAAACTCATTGGTGTGCACCAAACGCCCAGGGAAAAAGGCTGCCTTGCCAAACGGAACCTAAAAAATAAGCAATTAATTTAATTTTTCTAAGAAAAAAAAAAGAATTGGGGGATTGGGATTTGGTGGAGTAGGGTTTAGGGTTTACCATAATATCGTGGTGGAGGTGGTCGGGGAGTTTCATGACGAGATTTACGAGGCTGGTGTTGTCGGCGGTGAAGCCTCGGAGGTGGTCGAGCTGCTGCTGCTTCTCGGCGATCGTGTCCTCCACGCGCTTCGCTGCTTTCTGTGCGTCTTCTACGGGGAACAAGGAGGAGAGTGACGTCACAGTTCCTTGACCTTTGGCCGACTCTTCCATTGTCGCAGAGGAGGAGAGAGACTCAGTCCCAACACGACGTCGTTAGGAGTTTAAAGATGGTTTCGGCGATGGCTTGCATACATTCGGCGGTGGAACAGAGTCGCAGGGGAAACGAAAACGGCGAAGGTTCGCGAACAATCACTAACTACGTGGCGATATTTTTGCCGGATGAGCTGTCGAGTTCAAAGCTTCTGCATTTCGTGACACCTGTCCATTCACTAATTAGACCAGGAGGATCGTCGCAGATCCTTTTTGTGAGGATCCAAAGAATCTTTTTTAGGATCTAGATCCTTCAATCACATCCGTTCATCGTGTATTGTGCTTTCAGAAATTATACGATGAACGGTTGTGATTGGAGGATCCGACGAGAATCCTCTCTCCTAATTAGACCCTTCATCTTCGCAACCCTACCGCATTTGCATCCCTAAACCGTCGCAAATTATCTATATACTAAAACCCGGTGAAAAATATTGTTCACGAGCAGTAAATTAACGAAAATAACCCTCACCTGCTTCTTTTTCTCAGCTTAACTTTTTGTTCTGAACAGTTAATTTATGATTTTACCCCTTCTATACACGTGTTGCTCATCGCGAAAGGAGGGGGAGAAGGATGGAAAAGCCGCAGTTTTCTATGGGGTGTGATATCCACACACCCCATTTTACTTCTCACACACCTTTTTAATTTTCGGCCGTCGGATCGGATGAATTGAAGAAGATCAACGGACATAAATTATCAAGAGGTGTGTGAGAAGTAAAATGGAGTGTGTGGATAACACACCCCTTTTCTATTTGCTTCTAGACTCCTCCTATACACGTGTTGGTCATCGTGAGACGGATGTGCATTGCCCTCAGTGGCCACGCGTCTATCATCGCCGGTCCTTCTTCTTCGATTTCTTCGTTGGTTTTTTTTTTCCGTTTGCCTCTTTCCCTCCATTCTTTGCTTTTTCTTTTCGTTCGCCTCTCTCTCTGCTTCCTCAGTTTCTGCAAATTGTCGAACGTAGCTTTTTTTCTCTTCCACGCCGGTGTTGTTCTTGCTGTCCACACTTAGCAAGTTTCTCCATCTGATTATTCAGCTTCGTTATTTTTCCCGAAAAATTGCTCAATTCGTGAATGGTTTAGGGGCTACAGATTTCTGCCTTTTTCAATTCGATTGAAATCCATTTTTCTTTGCGTAGTCTAACGTGTTCTGGTGAGTTTTTCGTTTTTTAAGCTTATGTGATTCATTTTTTTGGTGGTTTTCGATTTGGAGATAAATTTTATCATTAAACTTTTTTCTTTTTTTTTAAAATTTTGGGGCTGCGCTTATTTGGATAGGTTTTATATTTCAGGAAACGCTTCTGCTCCAATTTTGGGCTTTCGTCTGCAGGTGGTTTTCGATTTAGAGATGAATTTTGTCTTTAAATTTTTTATTTTTTTTTCATTTTGGGGTTTGGTCAGTGCGCTTATTTGGTTGGGTTTTTGGTTTCAGGAAATGCTTCTTCTCCAATTTTGGGGCTTTCGTCCACAATTTTGCAAGCCCATTGTGTTGAAGGTATGTATATAAAATCTATTTTTTTCTATTGGTTTTTTGTTCAACATAATAATTTTTTAGGGGTGGTGTTCTGTTCATTAAATTTATTTTCTTAAAACTTAGGTTTTGCTCTCAAAGTTTTGATCTTCACATTTTTTTTATGCTGTAATTGTTTTTGGGTTTCCTCTCTCATTTTGCCTTTGTTTGGTGCTTTATTAAATTAGGGCTTACGGGGAATTTAGTCTCTTCTTGCTTGCTATGAAAGAAAAGCATGATTGTTAATTTTTTATCTCAACAGTACTCTCTCTCGATCTAATTTTAAGTGATTGAAAATTGGGTTTGGTGATTTTTCTGATTGTTTTTTTTTCATGTTTTAGTTGTTAATTGACTTATAGAGCTTTTTTGTTTTGCTGTAATATTTGTTGAATTGAAAGGATTTGGAGGCTCCTGCTTGGGAACTCAGAAACCTTTTTTAATCTTTCCAGGTACACCCATATTTATATCCCAAACAACTGTTTATATGTATCTCTTTGTTAGAGAAGGCTTTTGCCTTTTGGGTTCAATTTCATCTGCTCTCTGTATTGGATTTGATGACCTCTCGGTCCTGTTTTTGATGCAGCAATGGAGCTTGCATTGTCGCTTGAGAAATCGACAAATGAAAAGCTCTGCTCAACTTGCAGTGTAAAATGATAAGGTTTAGGTGATTATATTTTGTACCTGTAACATCGTTTAGTTCGTGTTATAAATTAACAATCTTATTATGCTATGTTCATCTTCGAATTTACGACTAACAGGTTGTTGAGAAGAACAAAGATGTGTAGTTCGTAGGTCAGTGTTGATACCCTCCTTTATTTTTCCTTTAGTTGAAAAGGTTCTACAGAGACACTTGCGGCATGATTTTTGATGTTCTGCTTTTACCTTTGTAGGTGGAAGCCATCAAGAAAATATCTGAATATGTTGCTCAACTATAGATAATTGGCGAAGAACACGATTAGTGACATGGAGCACACTCAGTGGAGCCATTTACCACTACTGGTGTCCCTACTGATTTATTACCATATACCAATCCAAGTCCAAACTGATCACAAAGTAAGCAAGCTCAAAGCAAAGTTTTAGATGTTTTTTTTTTTTTTTAATTCTAATAAACAAAGATTTAGACAAATAAATGTTGAACTTGGCTAAACCAATTGATATTATCGTATTAGAGGGAATGATTTGGTTAGAAATATTGGTGTATATTTTTATGCATAAACTCGATTAGATAATTATAACCCAACCAAAAACACTTTAATTTGTTAAAAAGCATGTTATACCAACACATTCAAAGCTCACGCACTATAGCTGTTCATAATTGCAGTAAGAAATGTACTTTACTTACTTTCGAAGGCTAAAGTGATTTATAAATGTGATCCAAAATGTGGTTGTGGCATTTCTTGCGTCAATCGTTCTCCTCAGAGAGGGCTGAAGTATCGTTTTAAGGTAGTGTTATTGTAGCTACTTTGTTTGGTTATTTGGAAACACACACACTCATGATTACATGAATCACTGCTTGGCTATTGTCAAAGTGGCACATGTTGTAAATAGTGAGCATTAGCAGGTTTTTCGAACACTAATGAAATATTAAAAATTAGAATATAATAGAATATGACTTTGTGCTTACAAATTTTTTATCCTTCTTCTAACAACTCTTTTTGAAACCATGTTACTAATATCTGACCTCCTGATTCTTTTAGGGATCGGACCACAAAAATTTATCTTCAGTGCTTCATAAAGCTTTAGAGGGTGCAATCATATTTGAAACTTTCCCCAAGACTATTATGGATGTTTTTGCATTGGTGTTGGAATCTATGAGCAGTAAGTTTTTCCATTGGTTTTAATATCTAAGCATCTATTCTTTCGGCCATTTATGTTTATGTGAAGGAAAAATTAGTTATGTAGAAAATGAATGAATATAAATAATATAGTAGAGAATTTAAAGTGGAACAAATAAGATTATACTCTTGCTATGTCAATATATATGTTTGTGTATAAACGTGTTCATATTTTTGCGTATGTCAATGTATAACATTGCTGCAATTAGTTTGGTTACTTTACAGGAAAGCTTATATGAATTTTTAATCGATGAATTCCAGTTTCCAACACTTCATTTTCTTCAATTACAGGTATTTGAATTTTACATGTCTAAATTTTGTTCTCCAATAATTTTTAAGATCAGTAGATCTGTTGAATTTGATAATATTATTCAACAATGTGGTCATCTATTCAAACTGCATTACAAAATTTAATATGCAGAATTAAGCATTGTAAGTTTGATCTTTTTCTTCTGAGTGATGTATTTCAGATACTGCCTTCTCCAACTAAACTCTTGAAAAGCTTTTCTATAAAATTTATAGTTGTTTAAAGTGTTGTATCCATCTTTGCAATTAGTCTCATAAATTATACCAAATTTGTTAATTCTTTAGCAAAATAAGCAAATCATTTTAATTTGTTTAGGTCAGATCATATGAATTTTGAGGTTACTATTTTGATTGTGTAATTACCCATGTTTCTAACATTGCATTCCTTTTTTTGTAATAAATTTGTTTCGTTTTTAGTTCTAAAATGTAGTTTACAAAGGAAAATCCATGCGTTTCTAATCTACACAAGTCAAAAGTTAAAGATCATTTTGACAAAAAAAAAAAGGTTAAAGATCAAGAAGAATTGATGAAAGAAGCAGTAAGCATTTTACAAGCGACTCTCAGTTTTTATTCAACAATCCAGGCGTCCCATGTTTCTCCTCCCTGGTTTGGTAAAGTAGAAACTTATAGTTTGTCTTACATTTAACAGAGAGACGTTATGTGAATATATCACAATATCAGTAATTTTTTTGTATGTTTTGTGAATTTGTTGATATTCTAGCAGGAATTGCAATGGTGGAAGGGAACAAACATAAAGTTAGTGTTATTTCAGCCAAAAGCCTTATTCTCACAACATTGAGTACGATTGCTTAGACTTTCAATTCATTGTACCTAAATTGAAACAATTCTTTACTTTACATATGTCAAATATAATCTTTTATACAATTTCTAATCCCGCATCAACGCGCGGGTGGTAATTTCTAGTCAAATCTAGAAAAGAAAGCCATGCTCCCCATCCCATCGCCTCTGTCTCTCAAATTTCAACGAACTAAAACTCTGCAAAATCCTCTGCACCCAAAAATGACTGTTCTACTAAATCATCTCTCAAATTTTAATTAAACCGATGGTGACAAATCCAATCAATCAAATCTACTAAATTCGACGGATTCGAAATCAAAAGCGAAATTGAAATCAGTCCAAAAACTTCCAGCACAATACCTGAAATCAAAATTCTAAATTCAAATTGCAAACGCGTTGACGAAAGAGGGAAACGAATTCCAAAGTGGAATCAGAAATGAGGGAGGAAATGAGGAATTACTTGTTGGAAGAGAGTATAGAGGAGCTTTTGCTTGGTCAAAAGTGTGGAAGTTGCAGGAAACAAAGGAGGCAACAGTTCAAGATTGAGAGAAAAGCAAGGGAGGAAGAGACAAAAATGAGAGCAAGTAATGGGAATAAAAAAAGAGGAATTGAATTCCAACTATAGATTACACCGGTGTTTATTAACGTGGGAGGAATCAAAAACCATGTGGGACCTAGATGAATTCTGAAATTTCCCGAAATCGGATTATGACATGCCCTAACCCCGATATCCAAATACTAGGATAGGCACGTGCTGGCCGACACCCGAGGGTGACGAAGCCATTTTAACATGCATGCAAGTTATAAATGAAGGATGAACGTGACTAAAATACGAGAACGTGTTTAGAGAATGAAATATGCAAATACGGAAATGTGTTCAGAGCATACAACTAATTGAGACTAATGTTGAAGGAAAATTATGAAATAAATGAGATTATAAAAAAATGAGTCCTACATTGGGGGAACTCCAAAATACCAATACGAGAATGCCTTGATGTCGAGATCATACGTCTTGATTCTAAGTCCTGAAAGGGGCGTAAAAACCAAAAATGTGGGTGGATCATAATTTATAATAATAGTGATAATATGAAAATCGATTTCTTTCTTAACATACTAACCTCCTATTTTGAAAACACATATAATGCTGCATAATAGGTTTTTCTAAAAACTCTACATGCTATAAGATGTTCGTACGATAAAATCATGTTTAAAAATGATAGCGAAACTCCTAAGGGCAAATCCTAAGAATCTCGTAAATCAAATCAATGAAGTACTCAACTAGGGGCATCATAGTTGCCAGAAGACATAACCATCACCCGTAAGTGAAGCTGTACGACACTAAGTTTTGCTACTGAAGAAATATGGTAGGTCCCATCACCCAAAGGTGAAGCTGTACGACTATGGGTTACGTCAATGAAGAAAATATCACATAACACACCGACACTAGTTTCGCCAATGAAGTTGGGAGTATGTCATAAATATCCTCAAATGTGTCATATGGCCATAGACATCTACATACTCAGGTTGTGTGTATGTGTTGTATGATCACCCACTAGATAAGCACAGAAAACATAAATTATAATCTTTCCAAATCATCAAAGCTTAAAAGCTCAAAGCATCAATTCATAAACCATAATAAATCATATTCGTAAATCCGTAATATTTCATCCTGCAACATCTTTGGTTCGGCTAGGTTTCATTTTTTTTATCGAAGTTGGTTGTCTTAACGCGTAAATCCAATTATTCATAACCTTTCGTAAAACATAATTCGATAAATCATAAATAATGCATAAAACGTAAAATCATGAAATCATGCTTTTCGTGAATGCAAGCCTAGCATTTAATAAAATCATGTAATTTAAGAAATGCACACTCACAAATACTCCGCTACCGGGGAGCCGATCGAATTAGAGAAGACGGCATCACTTCCAACCAATGCACGTAAACACAAATATGAACCATTTATTAAAACTCTACTAAAATGATCGAATTTGGGAAAACAGACAGCGACACGTCAAATAACTTGAGGAGAGACATCGGTTCCCCCACGTGCCTCTTTGGGTCACAGGAAAGTTGGCCCGAAAAATCACCGGCACCGCCGTGGACAGCAGCGAAATACAGTGCCTCTAGTAGAGGTGCGTGTACCCCACGCGCTGAGCTTCAACCCACACGCAGCCTCACTCGCCCGCGAGTATAGTTATGAATGTAGGGAATTGATACATACCCATTGGAGGTCGTGACATGGCCAGAGTTGGCCGGAAAAGGTGTCTGAAAGTGGCCAAATGGCCACAATTTCAAATTCTAGAAATCTGGGAAATTCTTCCCAAGGTGTTTCCAGTATCCAACACTCGATTAACACATACCAACTACTCTAATCTAACCCTAAAACACGATCTAGAAGATTTTAGGAGCTAACCTGCGTCGGGGATGGTGAGAACTCACCATGGTTCATAGGGAAAGACGATGAACAATAACTGTCAAAAGAGAGAGAGTGAGATCGTAGAGAGGTGAAAGAAAAAGGGGGAGGGTCCACTGATAGAATTGTGCTCATTGAAGTGGCGGGGCGAGTGGGGGTAGAGATGGTGCTATCGTTGTTGGTTGTGCGAGCTCGGAGGGAGTGTTGCAAAGATGAGGGGGATAGACAAAGAGAAATAAAGAGTTCTAGATAAAGTATTCACCAGGGAGAGAAAGGAGAAAAAAGTGAAGGAATAAGAGATAGATGGTTGGGAAACCAACAACAAAGGTGGGCCTCACTAGCTCACCAAACAAGATAAGAAAATACGAAATAGAAAAATATCACGTGAGAAGCAAAATTACCAAAATGCCTCTGCGATTCGAATTCCGTAAAATCTTCGTTCTAGCTCCAAATTCAATTCTGCTTGCACCCACGCATTTGTAATGACGAGTACTACAAGGATACACCAAGGAAACGAATCTTACGTGACACGACAAGGTGGTCACTGAAGTCAACATTTTTTTCCTCGAAGGGCATTTTTGTAAATTCACGTTTTAAAATTTTAAAAACCGTAAAATCTGGGATGGGTCGTTACAAATTCTCTAGTAGTAGGTGGTAATTGAATTCATTGAATTGGTGTCCTCCAATAATCAAACTTGTGTTCCTAAATTGTCCTCAATTCGTCTTCTGCAAATCCACCCAAATTGGGAGGTTACGGGGTGGTGGGAGGACATGTGAATATGCGAGGTGGTGGGAGGATTTGGGAATATGGGAGGTTGTGGGGGCTGGGGAAGAAGAAGATATGGAGGAAAGGGGGAGCGTGGAGGACATGTGAGTATGATGGGTGGTGGGAAGGGTTGTGCGGGTTGGAAAAGAAAAGGGCAGCAAGGATGAAACGAAGAGGCGTGGGAGGGCTCTGGAAGTTGGTGAAGAAAATAATAGATAGGATGAGAGGATGGGAGGGTGAAATGATAAATTTATAAATATAAATTTATTTGTATAGATAAACTATTTTCAATAATTATAGCATAAAAATAATTTATTTTAAATAAGGACAATTTAGTAATCATTATAGTTTTAATTCTGATTCCAGTGAACTAGTAAACAATATATATATGGAACCAATATCATTTGTATTCCAACTCCAGTTAATTTCGTAAACTTTAACAGGAATCTAATTTGGTTTCCTCCTCAATTCACTTCCCCTCAATCTGATTACATATTAGCAAACAAGCCCTGAGATAGATGTGGAGAGTTACCAGCACGGTGGGATCCTCTTTTACTTTCTTATTTTGTTTTTTTATTTCTTATTTTGAAGTCAACTATGTTAGATTTGGTTGAGTTAGGAGACAAGTGTCACAATTTTGAGAAAGCCATAGAGAGACCACATGCACAAATGGGTGCATAAGATTTGAACTCTGAGCTGAAAAGTTGACATCAAGCACTTGTAGCTCAGTGGATAGAGCGTATGCAAAAGGTCATAGGTTCGACCCCTATTTGGCGTGTATCTGTTTTTTTTTTTTTTTTTTGTCTTTCTTTTTCTTTTTTAGTACAGAAGAAAGGCTTGCCTAACAACAAAACTAACAAAAAACAAAACAATGCCTAAGAACCCTAACAGTGTCCTCTTGACTCAACCGACCAACTAACGTCTTCTTCCATCGAGTCATTTACTATTGGAGCCTCACTTGAACCCATCATTGCGGAATGAAATAGATTAGCAAACCAAGCAAAATAAACTTGAGTGTAATAGATGAAGTTGGTGAAGTTGGTGCAATTGGTTTAGTGGTAAAATTTGTTGGTACGAATTAAGTATTTATAGGCAAATTAAAATATAATATGTGAAATTAAAAGAAAATACTCGTTCACCCCCTGCAACAATAATAGTTGCAAACAAATATGGTGCAAAGAAGAGTAAAGTTGAATTCCAATGGTAACTTGTTCCCCACTAGTGAATTCCAACAGTTCACCTTCAACAACTAAAACGGATAAACAATCATCGTGGTGATAAGGTAATTGGAGGAAAAAAAAAAGGATTTAACCCTCGTGGTGGAGTCCGTTAATGAATTTGGTCCAAAAGTTATTTTTCCGTTAATTGTCCGTTAAATACAAGGATAAATACCAATCTTAAGAAGAACACTCTAAATGAAATTCCACTAAAGAAGTCTAAAAAGAAAACTCAAATATATATCCGACGTGTTGAGCTTCTGTTTTATCCCGCCCCAAACTAAATAATTAGAAGTTGCGTTTTCGATCTTTGCAGAATTAGGGTTCTAATTTTGTTGTTTCAAGAAGCAAAAGATCAACAACAATGGCAATACCAGAAATTGGAAAATTGTACGGGGTGATCCAAACAATTCGCGACTTTCAAGTGGCTGTGAGCAGCCGAGAGGCAGTCCTTGACATAATTGAAGCCTAATAATGACCACAACAATGATCGATTACTCAATTTCAACAAAAAATCAATGACTCGTTGTCTGCCCATTCCATTCATGCCACCGGTGACTGCATTGGCATCAAATCAATATTTTCAACTGCTTGTTTCATTGCTCAGCTTTATGGGCATCAAAGTTCATAACAACATCGTCGTGCCCGGACCTCCACCGATGTTAAAGGATCTTTGCATGAAGTACCTACTACCTTATGTTTATGCGACCAACCATTGAATACATCGTAAGGATCATCATGATTGTCTCGTTTGTGATTGTCTTATTGGATGTCCATCTCCTCGTTCGAGCAGTTTGGAATTTTAAGGGGAAGGCTCGTGTTTGGCAAATTTGAAAGCTCATACACCTCTAGTGAAAGAAGGAATGGCGCCATTTCTGGTGGTTTTGATGGCAGTGGCAATGGTAGTAACATCGTCAACCGCAATGGCAACTGTAACTTGGGTCATAATTTTTCTATTCTTGGTTTTAGCTTGATTAATTATTTTATTTTCTTATGCTTTATTAATTATTTTATTTTCTTGGTTTTAAGGTATATTAATTGATAGGCGGTTCAAGATCTGATTAATAACTTAAAGAAATTTCATTTTCAGAATCAATGGTTCAGAGTCAAGGGCTTCCACAACTTTGGAGTTTGCTTTTAGGGCTCCCTTTGCTTCTTCTTCAACTGCTTGGGACAGAGTGTAAGTTACTTTTGATCATAATTATTCGGTGATCAATTTTGTAAAGCTTATAGTTAGCATCCAAATTAGTGAATTCTCTGCTTTTGTTAGGATTAAAATCCATTTTAATCATTTTCCTCAATAATCTGACATAAAATGTAACATTCCACATCGTCTAGGGGAGTGGATCATGTAAGCCTTATATGTATATTCTCACCTCTTCCTAGCACGAGGCATTTTGGGAGCTCACTGGCTTCGGGTTCCATCGAAACTCCAAAGTTAAGCGAGTTCGCACGAAAGCAATTCTATGATGGGTGACCCACTGGGAAGTTCTTGTGTGAGTTCCCAGAAACAAAACTGTGAGGGTGTGGTTTAGGTCCAAATCAGACAATATCATGCTACGGCGAATCGAGTCCGGGATGTAGTAGGGACCTGGACCGGGATGTGACATAAACTCACAAACACAATTTGCTAACACAAAAGTTGCATTTATAATCAACAACTAGTATGCCTAATTCAACTAGAAACAATATCTGAACTCAAGGAACTTACTAAACAATGAAGAACATGTAAGTCAAAAATTGAAATCTTTCAAAAATCAACCAAATGAATTTCAACTGTATCCCCTAAGTATTACTACTCTATCCCCATTTCAATTTTATAATTCTACATGACTGATGAACACATAACGTCTAATAGATTAGCGACATGTATTTGAGAGACAGATAAGCACATAAGTTCAATATATTTAAAAGAGGTATTTTGGTTATTTTTGTCCAAAAATCAAGACATCAAATTAAATCAATTTCATGTTTTAAGATAAATATGAATATGAATATGAGTTGAAAGTATCGCTTGGTCCTAAGACCGTTTAGGGAGAATAGTGGTGTCAGATTTCAAATTTGTGGGATCCTAGAGTTGTTTCTAATTTTTGAATTATTACAATTGGTATATAGCTTATCAGACTCATCGAGAATCACAAGCATATGGTTCTCAACTCATTTATCGTTTCCATGTACCCCACACGATCTTAAGAGAAACAAATCAAAGATAAATTCTCACATTCAAGTCTCACTAATTTACCCTTAATTTGAACAAACGAAAGTGATGACTTATTAAAGCTTAAAATTTGCAGTTTAAAGCTACTCAGAACTATTGTCTGGTGGTATTCTTCTTCACTTATAAGTGAGAGGTTTAGGTTCAAATCTCGTAGATGGAGAATTCGATACTAAATTAGATTACCCATTGTGTCGCTTAGCCGAACTCCCCCTCCCCTTAGTATAAAATATATCGTTGTACTAAAAAAACATTGTAGGTTAAAAAACTTAGAACAAGCCCTTGATGGGCACAAGTTCAAAACTATGAAATAATGGACTTAAAATTCAATTGGTTCACCCCTCAAAACTAGGATACATCCACTGTGGTTCTCGAAATATATAGCTTTAAAGATTACAACGGGTGCTCGGCTATAGTCTAAATTTTTTTCTCTTTCAATCGTCTGACATGTTATAAGAGGTTCTTATTGTTGGGTTTCTAGGCATATTATTAGGATAAATTCAATTCGAATAATCAAATACGCAACGGAAAGTAATAAATGACATACAATATGTTATTGCAATTATATATTCAGTTAGTTGTAATAGATAAAGCAACAAGTTAAGAAGCCGTAGACATTAACTTACTGGAACCTTTTGTCATGTGCATGCCGCTTGATTGGATCATTCTCATGCTTGCAATCTTCCTCTTCATGATTGATCATCCGAAGTTCCCAGATGTTGAGCCTCTAAGAGTATCCACATTGAAAAAACTAGCACTGGATGATGGAGTGATCGATTTGATGTGCTAGCAACATCTCACACTTGGATCAATGTAGGATGAGTGGCACACAAGATGTTTTGGCTTTTCTCTCTTTTCTCTAAGGGACAAAACTGAACAACTTTTGCACTATATATTAGAGAGAAAACACAAGGAGTATTATATACTCATCGACGTCCCTTTAGCCGCACCCTACTTAGGGTTTGGCGGCATGGACTTGTTCCACGTGCCAAGCCCCTCACTTACCCCTTTTTTATTTGTGATTTGGATGCTTTTTAATTAAATAAAGCCCAATGCCTATTTAATTAAAACCATGACCAATAAGTCCAAATAATTAATTATATCTTATCATCATCCATATAATGTTACTAAAACTTATCATATGTGTGTGACCTCTTAGGTCACTAAATCCAGCAACAAAATTAATTAATGAATTAATTCAATTCCACAATCCATGAGTGACATCTAACATGTCATGGCTACTTGGATTAGTAGAAGAATACGTGAACTAATCATGATAGTCTTTCGAACCTTGATTGTAGTTACGATGCAATTCAATTCTTCTATCACAATCTCGATTAAGATTTATCTGATATGGAATTATGTCAAATCACATATAGTTATATACGATCCTCATGATGCATCTCATGTTATAGCATTTCTTACATACATAACTTAGTCAACAGTTACTCTGGCTATATTTTCAAGATGAATCTTTCATAATATATGATTGACTTGATTACAATGTAGTTTTCAAAATTAAATATAAAAATTAAAATTTTAGTAGTAGTTAATCCGTCACTGCTCATCTAGTTTACTACTACGGTAGTTAAATTACATTAACTATAAATTTTAAAAATAAACTTAAAACTAATAAATTATTAAGAGATATGTTTTGTATGTTCGGTTAGAGATGATATAAAAATATGACCTCACATATCAATTAAAATATAATTTCTTACAAGAATATAATTCGAAACGAGGCTATATTTATCCTCTTTAGTTGGAAAGGACCAGCCAGCCCACACAAAACAAGAACAAGAATGATGCTGAGCCCTCACTCACTTGGGCGGTGAGTCCCATGTTCGTTGAGGCGCGTACGCCTACCTTACCCCAAACAAGCCTCCCCTCTCTTACCTCCATTTACCAGAAACCAGAATACAAAACCAGTGGACATGTCAACTACCATTTCCACGCCTTCTTCTTCCTCATAAGCTCTCGAACCAAACCTCTTAACCTCCAACCCACAATAAATTATCACTATTATTATAAATAAATACAATCAAATTATAAATTTAGTATTTCCTTTGTTATTAGTTTTTGTTGTTGTCGTTGCTTAAGAATAATTAGAGGCCAATTAGTCGTTGAGCTTTCACTTTCTCCATTGATCGGCTGATAACTTCCTCCAATGCTTGACTCCAATTGAAGCAAAACCCCCCTTCTATCTCTCTCATTACCTCTGTACTCCAATGGGTCTCTTGTTTTTCTCTTCGATTTTTCGATTTCTTTCCCAACACAGAGGCTTGGCGGTGGCGGTGGCGGTGGAAATTCGGAATTGAATTTCGGGTATGGGATTGATGGGTTTTGATTCGGGGGTCGTGCGGAATTTGGGGTCTTTGTGGTCTCGGCGGAGCAAGCTGTACCGGGTTTTATTCTGGGTTTGGGTCACTTTTGTGCTTTTTCAGCCGGTGGCCGGTCTTAGACCCTTGCGGGAACGGGCTCGATCATGGGGCGATGAGGTTGGTAATCGAAATTTCGGGTTTTTTGTTTTCCGTGCTTAATTTGTTGCATTTGGTTGTTTGTGATTGAACTTTATGATGTTTTTGGGGTAAATATTGTGAATTTGAATGTGGAAACGTGAATTTGATCTGACAACTGCTGTTTGCATTTGTGTGTATGTAAATAATTATATGGTATTTACAGCCTATATTAACTCAGTGTGAAGTTTTGGTGGGGAAGGTATGGATACGATGGTAAATGAAAATCGAAGTTCACGTTTCTATAGTTAGGTTAATGGAGAGCTCAATATTGGTGTTATACTTTTTGAAAACTAACACATTCATGTTGTGAACCATAGTTATGAAGCCAGTTGCTTAAGAAAGTTATGGTTTATGGTTAATTTAGTTTCAGATGCTGTGTTCTGCAGCCCATCGTGACTTTTAATTCCTAGTTAATTTAGTTGGAGAACCACACTAGTTGTGCTTTACTTTGAATTTTGCTATGATCACTTAAACTATATGAGCAATGATTCACATGTGGTGCAATATTTCTGTCTGCTTGTTTTTTCCTTGGTGGTTCTCATTTTTGGGCTGCATCAACATGGCAAGAGTTTGACACTCACCATTCCCCTCCCCCAAATAAAAGGAAAAAGTATGTGGACCTAAATGCTTATTTAGTCCTTTGCTGTTAACCACTAAAGTTTTTCAATTACATCACTTTCAGATATTGGTATTGATATGATTTGTTTGACGTATCCATGTACTTTTTAGATGAAGTAGGTTTATGACCAAAATTTGTTTTTTGAATGGTATGAAATTGAACAAACCTTCTAATTTTCTCAATTTTCATTTTGCAGTGGCTATTTGTAAGAAAAGATGAAATTGATTTGGGACCATTTTCTACGTGGAATATAACAGGAACTTACAGAGGTTTGTAACTTATATATATATATATATATATATATATATATATATATATATAATGTTAGTTATTGCTGCTATTACTTGTTAAAAATTTGTTCATTACTAACTGGATCATTAAGATGTTCTTACTGTTCTCCATAGAATTTTGTATCGTGAAGCTTATTGCTGAAGTAATTTGGTAAGAAGCAGAGGTTGCAAAATTTATTGGATTGTGTAGCTGTAACAATGCTACATTTTTTAATAAGAAAGATAATTTCATTAAAAAGAATAGATCAATACAGGGGCAAAGTTGCTCACAAATCTATCTAGAATATGCTAATCAACAAAGACTACAAAGTATAGCTAAGCAACGGAGATGGCAGCAGACCTAATAAACCAATGTATGATGGGTGGCATAAGCCTCTGGATGACGGTATGCATACATTTTCAATATGGACGTCCAAAGGGAAGCCCAAAAATGAACTCTCTCCCATACGATATAGCTCATTAGGTTCTGTCTAATATTATGAATTATCTAAATAACTAACTACAATGGATATTTCAAAATTCCATGAGTTCTTTCTTTTTGTGTCCTCTGGCACAAACCCAAATTATCTTTATAGTCGACATTATATTCAAGCACCTTACTATAAAAATTAATGGAGCCTTAAAACTAAGCTTACAAGTTTTCTATTTGACCTGATTAGACATACGTATGTTTACATGTGAGTTGCAGGGATTTGGAAGTTTCCTGATTCTAGAAATAGCTCTTCCAGATTTCCGGATTTTAGGAATTCCCATGGCGACACTATCATTGAATTAGTTAGCACGCAGACAAAAATAACTGGCGTACATTACGTGCAGGTGAGCAGTTTGAACCCTCAATGACTGTCATATTAGATAAGGTCTGCTTCTGTCTATATGCCTGAGTTCATAAGATAAAAAGGGTTTTTATTGAGAAAGAGCATTATTATACATGATATCAGCAACAGAAAAATGGCACGTCCATTATATATTTGGTGATGAATGTGCAGGTCTATTCATACAGATGGTGGGTGGGTGAGTTTTGTCCGATGTGTGACCGAACTTAGTTATGTATAGATGTATGTGTGTATTCAAAGATGGATGGTTTCATGCACACACATGACATAAACCTAAGCGGCCTTTGCCTGGTCAGGCCAATGTAGCAATGCCTCAGGATGCATTTATACCAATAAATTTTATCCTGATGGAACATGTTTTCCATGAATTAGCAGTCTAATTTTTTCCCTGTAGCATTGGAGGCTTGATTTAGCAAGTGTGGCTATTGTGTTGTGAGTCATGTATTGGTAGACTTTGTCTTCTTGTTAAGCTTGGGGGCCAGCTTCACATTGCCTTATGAGTAAATACATACTTTGAAACTCAAGGGTTTAAATTAGAATCTTTATACAGTCCCTGGCGCACCTGCTTCAGTTTCCCCATATCACAGTGGGGTGCATGTGCACTTGTATGATATTCATGTGATGGGCTTTGATCATCTTTAAACCACCAAGCAGCCAAAAGGCTCAAATATGCTATCTTCTCATGGCCTACATAACTGTAACACTATTTCCTTGAATGTTTAGTTTTTAGAGTTTGTTTTAGTGTTAACGTTAATTATCATACTTTTTTTTTTAAATAACAGTCCATTTCTTCATTTGGCTGACAATAGGGGGTTATTATTTTCCATGATGTGTTTGACAATGAACACAATGTTGGTGGTATTCAAATCAGGGTGGAGGGTGTATTTATATGGCCATTTAGACAACTTCGAATGGTAGCTAACAGGTAATTTTTCCTGGTTGTGTTATTGGAGGCTTTTGCTGCGTTTCATTGATACATCATTTACACCCGCTTGCATTTAATATCTTCTGTTATACATATGTGCTCTATCTCTTTAAGAAAAAAATATGTGCTTTATCATTTTGTAGTGGAAAAGAGGGAGAGTCAAGCCAAGAAGAAGAATATTTATTGTCAAATCCGTATCATATGGTAATTTTTGTTCAATTGATTGTTATGAAGCCTTGTAGCTCTGCTTTCTGTCATCTTATGATGCACTATGTTTTGGTGTTTGCTCGCTGCTTCTAGTCATATGTTAGTTTTTGTAATCTGGAGTGGCAAAAATATATGAGAGATGGTAACACTTGTAATTGTTTGGGAATAAAAAATTAAAAATATAAGAATAAGTAATTAATTCAGAAAGTCAAATGCAATTACAGAGGTTTCAAGTACTCACATGTTACGTCTATACCTTTGGAACAGCTTGGAGTTTTCTCTTCCCAGGTTTTCCAAGAATCTCCTCAAGATAAGATATGGAGGAAAAAGCATTGTAATTTCTCCCACATCACTATAAATTATTTGCATATTGCTTTTATCATGTTATGATAATTTTATTTGCTCATACTGCAGCTCCAATTTATGAAATGGAGAAACACTGTAATATAGAAATCGCAGGCCAAATTTCACGTGTCTCGTCAGCCCATAATGGTATTTGAGTTTTCTCAGCGTATGGATTCTTTCTTTCCTTTTAATCGCTTCCTCACCATCCTTTCCCTAATTTTTTTCTCTAAAAACATGTAACTCTAAATTTTATTTTATTTTATTTTATTTTTAGAAACTACAGATTCTCTAAACTAGTTTCACATTTCTTGCCAACACTTTGCCTAATAAGATATGATTCAGAAGCACTTTTAATTGTTAGTCTATGGGCTCGTTTGGATGTGCTTTAAAATGACTGAAAGTGCTTTTAGAGAAAATGTTTTTGGGTTTCAAAAGCACTTTAAATGCTTTCTACAAGAAGCACCAGCACTTTAAGTGCTTTTCCAGGATTTACTAGCATTTTTACTAAGGATTGTTTCTAAAAGTATTTTTACCAAAAGCTCTTTTAGTCATTTTAAAAGCATATCCAAACGAGCTCTATGTTTTTCACATAAGTGGATATAATGCTTATCTAATGAACCATCTTCATCATGTAATTCTTGCCCATGTACTGATTCTTTTCTTGTAATTTGTTTCTATCTTTCATATAATCTTTTATTTTCTTTGTATTGAGGGGTTTGTGCCTGTGGGAGGTCAAAACCTTCTGGTCTTATGTTGTGAATGGACATAATTATTTGTTTGTTTGTTTCTAAAGTTCCACACTCATTCAAATTTCTACAAATCTTTATTAGATGGAGATCGTGATCGATACCATATAGAATCGTTGATGGAGAGTCCTGCAGTGGATGATGATGGTGATTGCTTCGCTCCCTTTATATTAAATGCTACTTCTGTCAATGTGGAGGTGTACTACAACAAAGCAGTGAACTATACTTTGATGGTCACCTTTGTATCCTTTATTTATCATTGTATTTCATGTTAATTTCAATGTTTTATGCCATATATATGTAGGCATATTCCTTAACGTAGTTCCTCAGGTCTCTTTTCTCCAAGTTCTTCTCTTAATTCGGCAAATGGAGCACAGCAACACTCAGTCAGTAAGAATTTTTGTCTGAACATAAAAAAAAAAAAAATTGGATTTTAATAATACATGCATTTGTATTTATAAGTGCACTTTTAAGGGGGCTGCCAAAGTTTCGATTTTAATGATTGGCCAACAGGCTATCATGGATTCTTATCTCTGCCTTCTGCATTTGACTGCAGGAATACTTGTTGGTAAGTTTAGCTCTTTGTCACTACCACCTTGTTTGTAAATGTTTCCAACCTTAAGAGTGTTGGTAACTATACTAGCAAGACACTTGTGTTGAAGCAGTTGTAGTAGTATACTAGTATAGTCACTACAAAAGGGTAAACTATTGTGATCGGGAAGTATTGAGTTTAAGATTACAATGAGAAACGCTCCTGTCTTTTGACACATCAAAGTTGCAAATAGAGAACAATGCTTCCTAATTTAAGATAAGCAACTACTTCGAATATTATTTTCACCAACTTATAGTAGCTTTTTGGAACATAGATTTCTGAAGGAAATAAAACCAGATGGGCTCTTTAAGAGTTGCACTGCAAAGTGCATGCTTCCAGCCTTCCACATAAGAAATCTTTTTCTCAAGACCCTAAATGAAGTTTGTTACAGGCCTGATACATGTGTATCATCTGTTATGTTTATAGAATACATGTCCTATTTGACCAGCCGTCTTCATATACTTAATAATAATATGTGCCTATATCCTCTGCTTATCACATGTTAATTTTTGCTTATTGACAGTATTTTTTAGGCATTAAATATTTTGTTTCTCCTTACTAATTCTATATATTTTTTTTGCCTTATTTCTTGTTTATACAGAATCCTTATTTAATGCTTTTGCAACTGCCGCTTTTTTCAAGTTTGTGGTATTCTCAATATTTGAGATGAGATATCTTCTTGCTATATGGAAAGCTAGTAGGCCTACAAATAATGGGGAAGGTTGGGAGACGATGAGGCGTGAGCTTTCAGTTCTGTATAGCCGTTTCTGTAAGTACTAATTTGGAATATATCCTTTGTTTGCATGTGGAATGCCATTTCATCAACTTTTGATTGGTATGTAGAGTTATAGCATTTATCGGGAATGATGCATACATACACATGGATTCTACATATCCATTGCTATCCTACTCCTAGAAGTTAATTTCGTTATATTCTTGAGGAAGAAGTATTTAGCCTTAAAACAAAGAAGTTCAGAAGAACAATTGACACATGCAAATATTTTAACAAGGTGAGGGCGTGAGTTTTCTTAAAGGAAAAAAATATTTTAGAAGTTAATTATATAAGGTACATAGAGTAAAAATTTATACAAGAAATAAAACCCCAATGAAACACATGCAAATATTTTAACAAGGTGAGGGCGTGAATTTTCATAATAGTTGTATCTTTGAGGATGAATTTTGATTTTAGGTTGGATGTTTACATACTAAAATATTATCAAAGTAGGCTATTCACGTGCTGGGCCCAATGGCCACACGTGTCCACGTCCCCCAATATGAGTTGTCCAGGTGTTAGGCTCAAGTGATACCACACTTGAGATGGGTTGAGAGTACTAGTCCCACATCGGGGAAGTAGAGTAGAGTTCAAATGATCTTGGGCCTCTCCACCCAGTTCCATTTTGTTTTTGGTTGGAAGTTCTACTTATCACTCCTAGTTGGCCAGCTAGAAGTTATATGCTTTAGTCGTCTTTTAGTGGCGAAAGGCCAGAACATACATAGAAGAAGCTAACTCAGACTTTCTAGGTATAGTACATTTGTAAAGGTATAAAAGTACAATGACGCTTGAGTCCTTGACCTACATTTTGATTAATACAACTGAGTTAGATTGATTTGAAAAGTACACAAAGCCCTTTGACGTTTAAATTTTTTGAATAGAAGCCCCTTTGGTGTTCTGAGAAAACCTCGTAAGCGAGTGTTATCACCATCGTGAATATACAATTTTTACATACATCTTTGCTAGGCTAATATACTCTGATGCTTGCTTCGTAGTTTCAAGTTTATATATCCAAACGAGAACAACTAATGTATTTTGATGGTAGACTAAATTTATTGTTCCAGTTACTTTGATATAGTAGGTGGCATGATTTAAAATTTGTCTTTATTGAGAACTGTTACCTGTTTGCAGATGGGATCCTTTTGGGAGGCATTCTGCTCATGTACGAGTTCCATAACTTCCTGAGGCCTATTCTTCTCCTTATGTACTCCTTTTGGATACCTCAAATAATCACCAATGTTATTCGTGATTCAAGAAAACCTTTGCATCCTCATTACATCTTGGGCATGACTGTTATGCGACTTGCAGTCCCATTATACATATTTGGTTGCCCTAACAACTTCATGCGCATTGAGCCTGACAAGAGTTGGTGTATTTGTCTGGGTGTATTTATTGGACTGCAAGCATCCATTCTTCTTCTTCAGCACTATCTCGGCTCTAGGTGGTTCATTCCTCGTCAGGTTCGATCTAACTCTGCTCATTTATATCTTACTGGAAATTGATTTTTAGACACTTCCCTTTTGATGTCACAATGACACACAAACTCACATCAAGGCAGCCATCATTGCTGTATTGTGAATCAATGTTAATTATACGGGTAACCTGTTGTGGAATTTCCCCAAGCAAGGAGCAGGTTTATTCAATTGAATGTAATACAAAGTTTATTCAATTGAATGTAATACAAAAGATTGTAACTAAATGCTTTTTGAATTTTCATCTTGAAGGTCTGTAATTATATCCATATCTCATTTCTGTTTGATGGTTTACAGATTCTACCTGAAAAATATAGCTACTATAGAAGGTTCGATCAGAATACAAATCACACCACAGATTGTGTCATTTGCATGACTGCAGTTGATCTCACACAACGTTCGACTGATTGCATGGTACTGTGATGGGGTGTTTTATATTGTAATATAAGTACCCAAACTTAGGTGCTTGGTTTAATGTTCTATTTCCCTTGCAGGTGACACCATGTGAACATTGCTTTCACTCTGGTTGTTTACAAAGGTGGATGGATATAAAGATGGAGTGCCCAACTTGTCGGCGTTCACTGCCACCAGCCTGATCCTTCCACTCTGCCTATATACGTATAGGATCAACTAACATCGCCCAACTCGCTAATTTTGGTAAGTCGCTTGATGGCATGCAAGCAATTTAGTAGAAATATTGTTTAGTTGGTCTGTTCCGACATTTTTTTTATTAAACTTCTTCTGAGGGCATATTCTTCACATACAAATGCTTGCTTGGATTTTCCCATGAGATTTAAGGATAACCAGTTACGCAAAATTTTAATATATCCAACACTGAAGACTCGTCCTTTCACCATCTCGTGGAATCATGTCTGTTCATCTCATTATCTTTCACCGAAGAATATTGTACATTTGATTTCTGACTTCTGCTAAACTTATTTACTTGGGAATGGTTGCTTATTTCGGGTTTTCATGATCTGTTCCGACCGGTTTTCAAATGACGAGATGTAAAACTTTGACAATCCTGAATCTGCCGTTTCTGTATTCTATTTCAGGTTGGGCATTAAATCGATTTTCAGGTTGAGCGCACCTTCCGAAGGAAGAAGGATGAGACACAACATAATCTACCAGTTTCCAAAATTGTAACAGATTCTGCATTGTTGTTACTTTAGCCAACAATTTTTAATTTTTAGCTCTTACTTTTTTTGGCTTTGTTGTAAAATGTATATGTAGGAAGCAAATCTATAGGTGCAAATTCTTGTCAATTCCATCAATAGTTGGTTCCCACTTCCCACTGCAGTCTTCTGTACGACGAGTCGACACATGTTTTGTGCATCTTATTCGCAATTAAGCGAATAATTAGATCCGGTTGTACTGATTCGAGGCGTCGTAATATCTTGGGAGATGCTACGATGCCTCGAATCATAGCATGATAGTAATGGCTAAATAAAGAGGGTGTGGATGGAGATGTTGTGCCTGATGGTAGTCACAGAGGCAACGAGGATAATGAACTGATGAAAGGCATGTTAGAGAGAAGAAAGCCACAAGGCTTTGCTTGCTGTTGCTTATTGTGGCAACTCAGCACGACACGTGGAAGAAGTTTTTTTCAAAATAAGACACGAAGTCAACTCTAATCAACTCCACTTTATAAGGACAAATTGGTGATGGGCCAATCTAATAAATCTTAAGCCAAAAAATTTTAAACCATAATTCATATCTGTTATTTTAGTGTCATATCTGTTATTTTTGAACGAATTGTGTCGTGTCAAGGTTTTTATTTTAATAGATTCTTATGATCTGATAACGAGCCAACTTATTAACGAAATGTGTAGTTTGTGTCAAGTTAAATGAGTCACGAAAAAAATTGTTATGACTAAATTTTAACTGACAAACAAGTCGTCGTACTCGTTATTTTAATGCGTTCTTCTTAACAAATAGACGACCTGATTCTCCAGTGACACTCGATAAGTTAACGAGTTTACTAGAATCGTGTTATTTTTGTATAGTTGCTTGTCGGATTTTAGTTTCGTAGAAGAATTAGCGAGGCTTACCATACCTCCTTCATTTCTTAGTTCCACTAGAAGTAGCTGACAAGTTGTCCCTCACTCGGTTGGTCGGTCGACGCTCACTCTCTTCTTCTCTGACTGATTGTCACACTCTTTCTCCTCGGCGATCATCTCTCAGGTTAGGGTTTGTTTTCTTTCAACTCTCCTTCTTTTCGGCTTTGTTTGGTTCTCGAGAAAATCATGTTCCTGTTGAGAATTGTGCTCTCTTCATTTTCCCGACTTTTCTCGAAAACCAAACAACCATTTATGGATGTTTAAGCGGATGTGTTTAGGGTCTTCTTATCTGGTGGTTGTTTTTGTTGCTTTTTGTTGTTGTTAACACCTCTAATTTTTGTTTTTGGTATGAATGCATGGAATTTTTAACACTCTGATCATTAATTAATTTCATCACACTTGTTTTTGGTTGCTTAGATGCCCAAACTTTGAATCGATGAAACTTTTCTGGGTCTTAACAACTGTTTAAATCTTTTATTATTGTGATTATCCACGAAAATCGTTCTTAGTTAAGTACGTAATCTTGCTCAAATTATTGTAGACCAGGCCCGTACTCTGTAGTTGTATCAGGCTGATTTCCGGATACGTAAATAATTGCAGCCTAAAATGTTTTGCAAGGTGATCTTATGGGGTATGTGCAAGGCCGGTGCCATTCGCTAATCGTTCGGCGCATTGTTTGTACATGTCTTGCCAATTTGCAACAACTTACTATTTTATGGAGAAAACAATTCCGTTAGTTAACCTTGTGCTAAGAATTAGATAATTTCGTTCCCGTGTCATTGTGTGTATCGGTTACGGAAAACAGACCTCTCGTGTTGATGCATGCGGATGCCTGTATTTGAAATCATGTTATTCGTTTGCAGGTCACTGGCTTCAGTTATAATCATGGCTGATGGGTCGTCACGTCCATCGATATTTCAGAAAACATATGGGCAATCTTACCTCATATCTGGGCTTTCCCCCAAGCTGCACACAAGCAACTATGCGGTGACTGGTGCTTATGCCAATGGAGCTTTGCAGAGCCCCCTGCTGCGAACTTTTGATGGCACTGCCCTTGCACAAGTCTCTCCGTTGTCCCCCATTATGGCGCAGGCTCCGGCAGAGAAAGGTGCAGCTGGTTTTGCTGTGGATTTTCTCATGGGAGGCGTGTCTGCTGCTGTTTCCAAAACTGCTGCTGCTCCTATCGAGCGTGTTAAACTACTTATACAGAATCAGGATGAGATGATCAAGACTGGTCGACTTTCTGAACCATACAAGGGTATAAGTGACTGCTTTGCCCGAACAATTAAGGATGAAGGTGTCCTTTCTCTGTGGAGAGGGAATACTGCTAATGTTATCAGATACTTTCCTACCCAGGTCAATTTTCTTTTGCACGATATCTGGATATCTTTAGTGATCTAGCGTTATTTGCATCACTTCCTAAACCCCCATATACATGTGTTGTTGTGTTGGAGTATTATTTTTTTTCTGTGCATTGGGTATCTTGTTCCCTTTAATTGCCGTTCTGAATTGTTAAAACTTGTGTATCAGGCCTTAAACTTTGCTTTCAAGGATTACTTCAAGAGGCTTTTCAACTTCAAGAAGGATAGAGATGGCTACTGGAAGTGGTTTGCTGGGAACCTGGCATCAGGTGGTGCTGCTGGCGCTTCATCTCTTCTTTTTGTGTACTCTCTGGATTATGCAAGAACACGGTTGGCAAATGATGCCAAGGCTGCCAAAAAGGGTGGTGAAAGGCAGTTTAATGGTTTGGTTGATGTTTACAAGAAAACCCTCAAGTCTGATGGCATCGCTGGGCTATATCGAGGATTCAGTATCTCTTGTGTTGGAATTATCGTTTACCGTGGGCTTTACTTTGGAATGTACGATTCGCTGAAACCTGTGGTTCTAACTGGTGGCCTGCAGGTATGTTAAATCTGAGGGTTTTTCAGTGCGTGTTCCGGTACACCAAGTGTTGTATTATTACACTTGGTGTATCGGGCCATGTTTCCCGGCACACTGAAAAATTTCTTGTTAAATCGTACTAACTTGTTCTCTATTAGGGATTTATTTTTGTGTGTAATTATTTGACTTTTTGGGCTGTGTTATTCTCTTATACTGTCAATGTGTCCCTTATTTTTCACTATTTTCTGAGGTAGTAAAGGCGCAGTGTGTACTAATATATGAAAGGCAGTAAGCTGCTTGAATCATTTTCAACATGGCTACCCATGGAGTTGCTTTGACCACTGCCTGCCTTGCCCAAAATCAGGCGGTGAAGGGTCAATATGTACTGTGAATTAGCTCCGATGATCTGTTGGAATTTGGGTTCATTCTGTATATGTATGTCTTTCTCAATACCCGTTGGGATTTTCGGGAATAATGTGTTGAAGTTGATATCATTTGTCCAATTTTTCTATGGTATTGGATATGAATCTGTTCCCCTGGAGTATATGATGTAATTAATGTTCATTGCTGTCTTTCTTCTGGTGATTTACAGGATAGCTTCGTTGCTAGTTTCTTGCTGGGATGGGGAATTACTATCGGTGCTGGATTAGCTTCTTACCCAATTGACACAGTGCGCAGAAGGATGATGATGACCTCAGGAGAAGCAGTTAAATACAATAGCTCTTTGGACGCATTTAAGCAAATCATCAAAAACGAGGGTGCTAAGTCGCTGTTTAAGGGTGCTGGAGCGAACATATTGCGTGCTGTTGCAGGTGCCGGTGTGCTAGCTGGCTATGACAAGCTGCAGGTCGTACTTATTGGCAAGAAGTATGGGTCTGGTGGCGGTGGTTAATAATGCTATGATGACGAAATCATTAGTTACTGTAAGTACCGACTCTAGTTGAATAATTTGAATGAACAGAAGTGCTTGTTATTAGAAAGTCATAGTTACAGGGATGAAGAAATATGAATGTTGGGTGCTTGTTATCTAATGCTTGAGCTTTGAACGGAAGTGCTTTGTTGAGATTAGATAGTGGTTTCTTATAAATTTGGTGATACGTTGTATGTAAAATATGCATCCTGTTTTGTGGCGGATTCGGGTTCCATTTTCCGGTTGAGTTAGCTGTTTAGGATGCCGCTCTTGTGGCGGGATTCGTGGGTAGGGATGCCCGTATGGAGCAGCTCTAACACGGATGGGACCAACAGGACGTGGTCGGGCAAGAGACGTGGTCAGCCGGCTTGACCCAACATTTTCAACTTGTGAAGGGTCTAGTGAATTTGTTTTAGGCATTGAATTGTATCATCTATCAAGCTAGCCATCCCGTTGCCCAGTAATTGGTTAGCAGCGGGTGGTGCAATGGTTGGCCTCTCATCTTGGAGGTGAACCTAGACACCTCTAAGAAGAGAGGCCGTAGTTGAAAATGCCCTAGAATGCGCTTAACCAAAATCTCGCAACCAAACCTAAACCCCAAGGGCCGATTTATAATCTTTGGGTTTTTTGGTTTTCAGATTGGCAAATGCTAGGGAGATCATATTTTGTAATATCATGTGAATCACCTCTCTAATAGAAGTGGAATATACTTATATTGGCGGCTTTACTTTTTATTAGATAGATGATTCGGATGTGGTCTACAAAATGTTTGGGTCTTAACTCTATTAGATGTTTGGAAGTTGATAAAGGAAAATCTATGGAGGAAAAGGGAAATGAAGAAAAGTGGAGGAAAAATGGTGAGAGAGATGTACAAGAAATGTATAAAGAATAATAAACAAAAATAAACAACAAAATGCTTAACAAGAGTATTGTTCTCGTATACCCTATGATTTAAGAGAATTATGGTTTACTAATAACAACTTTGGCGGGTGCCTCCCCCCAATCGTAGTCAATTTCGCAGATTCTTTGGAGGAACTGTTGTGAGTTAACACAAATTTGTCAGGGTGTTTCACCACAACAAGTTGGGTTTCTGTACATACATCTTTACATTTGTCCGAATCTTCAGACGAAGTTTGGCACTTGAATTTACAGATGCTCCCGGAGCTGAGCTCAGCCAGGAGGAATGAATGGGTCACTAAGCAGAACACAGCGAGGCCCTTTGCTTAACCAGTAAATCGCTTAGTTTCTTTATAAGCTGAGGATCCGAGCACATGTAATCCTGGAAGGATTTCCTCAGATCCTGCAACAGCTTCTTGTTGTTACAGCCGGGATTTTTTTTTCTCCCTGATTACGGACTTCTTAAAATAAGATGAGCTGACGAGCTAGCGGTTCTAACTAGAAATAAAGTTGTCCCATGTTACTATTGAAGATAAGAAACTGTCTCCCACACATAGCGTAGGTTAATTATAGTAAAAACTTAAGCTAAAAGCATGTCCTGTCACCAGAGTACGAAGTAAGAATAAGACTAGAAAAAGAAAGAATTACAATCAATATTTCTAGTCATGACCTCTAAGAGGAAACAAAGGCAGATGCAAAGCAGATTGCGAGTAATATATCATTAGTAAGGTCCAGTTTTCCGTGTGTTCAAGTTTATTGCATCCTGCACAAGATCTTTAGGTTATAATAAGCATGACAAGAGTGTGGCAGACATGAAAATTGGTATGATGTATGTTTAACTAACCTGAAGTGTTCCACCAGCAAGATAGTCGGAGACAAGGATGCTACAGTCAGGATAGAGATGCATTCTATGAGCGAAACCAAAGCTTGACCTCTGATACATTTACATATCAAGTGTAAAATAAACAGACCCAGGAACTACCAATAAAAAGTTCGGAGGATCAGGAAATGCTTACTTCCTTGCCTGAGATCCGTTGATCAAGTTGACGATACAATAATACATATAAAACTCCCAAGGGAAAGCAGGCTTCTGTATCTGCCACAGATTACAAAAACTGAAACTATCCGGTAATACACTGGTCATCAATAGGAGAGAAATAAGTCCGGTAGATTTTACCTTAAATGCAACAACATCATCAGGATTACAGTTGACATATGCCTTGTATACTTGAGCAAAGCCACCCTGGCCTGCACAACCAGTGATCTGGTACTTCGTACGACCTACAGTGTGGGCAGTGAACATGATAAGTTGACCTTCTACCTTCAGATGGAGCATCCATGTATAAAAATAAAGAATATTTGAAAAACCGAAACACTCAATTAATTTGATGGAACCAAATGCTCTGAATATCCAAGATGATTCTGGCTCCCTGGGACCCTAGCTCAGGTGGTAACACTACAGGGTAGTAGTGAAGTTGGTTGTAGGTCCAATTCTTGAGTGAAAGAGAGAATATAAATAATCAAAATTAAAGTTCAAAAGAAGACTTTTGATCAGGATATATAATGCATATCCGGATAAGGGTCCATGCAGCAAAAGAAGTGCTTGTTGGTATTGGCAAAAACCATAACAAACACAGGTCCTAACGTAGAGATAGCATATCCTCCATCATAATTTCTATCTGATAACCGGATGCTCAAGTGTACGTGCTTGAAGAGATTGAAAAATGAGAATAAACCTCTTTCTTATACATCCAAGGAAAAGTGCAGACAGACAGTAGAAAAGACTATCATTAAACAATTTACGGTGAAAAATGTCTTCTTCTAAATCCAAAGTGAGCCACAGCCTAACATTCCTTTTGTAGACCTGCATTTCGGAACACACACAGGTGCACGCAAAATCCTGTCGGAGACAAAGAGGCGGACCTTGAAATACCCTTCTGATAAACCATGTGCGCATCGATCGAACAATTTCTCTTTGGCTTTGTGATGGGACCGTTCACGAAGCCAAAGAGAAATCTTATGAGATACGTACATATGGAAGACAAATCTTGGTTCGACTTTTTGAGTATTGTTTCTACTTAATGTTACGGTTTAGTAGTATTTTAGTAATTGAAATGTCGTAAATTCACTCACTGGATGACGAGTTTGATATTGAATGATACGGCTAAGTATACAATAAAAGAAACTTTTAAATAATGCTAGCTTGGAACATATCCCATGATATCGCTAAACAAGGTTGTTTGGCTATTTTAGTTTTTTAATTTTTTGAATAGTCACTCGCTATATTGTATTTATACAATACGCTTCTCCTTCAATCTCTCCATTTTGTCCATTCAACGCGACTAGATGGCGGAGTGTCAAAATGTTAGAGGCTTAGAGAATGATAAATTTTGGTGGCGGACCGATCAGAGAGAGGTCAAAATACGAGAACTGGTGGTTCTAGATAGTGGTTGATCAAATGGAAACAACAAGCATAATTGAATATGAGTGTGATAAGATAAAAATGGTTTGTGCTTATCATTTTCCTATAAGTGATTTGAATCGGTAAATAATAAAATATTCAAAGAGTGCTGTTGGAGATTATAAGTTAAACTAGCTAGCCAAATTAGTTTTTGGACATTATGTTCGAAATATAGGCTAGTGGGGTTATGGCTATGTGGAGATAGTGACATACTCCGATTCGGAATGTTCATAAGGATTCTGAATCGAGATGTGCTGGCCGACATCTGGAAGGTAACGAAGTCATAAAGTGTAAAGATATGGGAAAATATGAATAAATTTGAACCTTACAGTGCCTAAATACCAGTGTGTACTGGTGAGCGGGAATGAACTCACTTCACATGTGACATTAGCGCATAAGTAAGTACAGTAGAACGGATAAGGATTATACCCTCAGAAGTAGCCTTCTATCCTGAGATTGCCAAGAATCCTCGTCGATACGAACATTCAGCAATTAAAACTTGGAGGGGTGCAAAACATAAGATGTGAGTGGGTAAAAACAAAACATTTGAAATCATAATTATCCTTGTAATAACCCTTCTTTGTAAAACCGTATAATTTCTGAGAATTCACCATGTATAGTATGATATCAAATGTACGCTAACATTAAATCCAAAAGTATACCACAACACAGCAGCTCAACAGCAATATAAATAATCATGTGCTTAATAATCAATGCTAGCTCATAAGTCGGAGTCACCTATATTGACCTGTATGACTTATCCATATATCATCACATATGCTAGCTCATACGTCGGAGTCACCTCTTGTGACCTATACGACTTATCCATATCTCATCATATATGCTAGCTCATAAGTCGGAGTCACCTCTTGTGACCTGTATGACTTATCCATATCTCAATAAGTATACCTGCACACGAGTCGGAACCACCTAAAGTGGTATGTACGACAGAACTAGGTGTAAATAAATACGCTCAAGTGCTACGATTACGTGAAGACTGTGCGAATAATCACAGGTCACCTACGAGTCGGAACCACTTAAAGTTGTTTGTACGACAGAACTGTGCACCTAACTTGGATCCAAGGTGAGCGTAAGGTGCGGGTGGTGAACATCATGTGAAGGAATGTGCCTTGGCTATGGGCGGGAGCACTAACACCGGGGTGCAAATTTATGAGCTCTCAATGCATCTCAACATAACATGTACAATTCATGGGCAACCCGTACGACAGTGCCGGAGTTGCTTAAAACATTATATAGTCATGCCATAACTCCATCATTTCAACAAATACCATAAACTCACCTGAACTTACCTGGGTGTCCTATGTTCACCTTTGCACTTCAAGCATTCACAATAATTATGTGCAAGTAATATACATATAGATAAACCATGATGCAATCTAATACTCAACAATGTTATAGCATTTTCAATTATATACATACATACATACATATATATATATATATATAATACATAAAAATGCATAAGCTGTAACGCCATACTCCCGAACTATTTATTTTTGGGAATAATTATCGGTGATAAGCCCAACTAGACACTAGTTTAATTAACTATCATTAATTACGTTTTCGTACTTCAAATTCTTGATTCTTTACACATTGATTTATGACAAACATTTTACCACTAATTCATAAGGTTAAATCTCACATTTTCCACCAATGTCCCTCACATTACTTAATCCCCTCAACAAGGCTATTGTCTCAATTATTTAGTCTCATTTATTATATGGATGCATCTAACGTCTCGTTAGACTGCCTACGTATCCTAAATAGGAATCAAGCCATTTGTAGTTCATAATTACTTCAAAACATTCACAGTAATCGTAAGCAATAATCAATTTATAAACGTTTATAGAATTATCAATCATATATATATAAATAATATATATACGATAGAAAGGAAAAGACTCACTCACCTGGAGTTTACACTACAACTCCCTAGCACACACATAGAGGCGTCACGAACGATCGGCGCTTAGAACAATTATCAAATCACATCTCAGAATTCTTATCGATAGAATACATCATTTACATAAAACACACCCCTAAGATTTGATCTGTAAGATCTGCATCACAGATTTCCAATCCGTTACTCCCAAAGATCCACATTATGCTTCTAGAATAACATCCTAAAATTTCATTACGATCCAATGGTCTGATCTCTGCCAATTGCCAAAAACCAAGTGGCGGTCAATATTTTATTTTATGAACTTACAAATCCAATTCAGGAAGATCCGTACGTCGGATTCCCAATCCGTAAGTTTCTATGGTCCTTAAATATTATGTACTATAATCTATTAAAGTTTGGTGATGATCCAACGGTCGGATCGTCGATTCACATTTTACCAAGTAGCGTATCGTAAGGGATTTAGGTTCAAACGATCAACCTACGTTATACAATTACCAAAACTGAACTCAAGGCATCTAATTTAACCTAAGAGTAGCATCGACAGTCCCTTGGCCACGCGCTGCCGTGGGTGGAGGTCGGCCACCCCGATTCGCCGGAAAATCCAACTATTTCCAAAAATTACCAAAATTTATAGGAATGAAGCTCTCAATGAGTAGAGTAAGTTTCATACCTGTGACCAAGGCCAATTTGGCCAAGAAACACCTCAATTTTACATAAATCAGTCGGAAACCCTAAAGAGGGCGGGCTTCGATTCGACCTCCATGCTCTCTCCGACGCCTCCACAAGTGTTTGGGCTTTGTTCCTGAGGTTGAGGGGAGTCTATTGGTGGTGGTAATTGGAGGAGGTAGCTTCAAATCGTGGCGGAATAGAACCCAACCCGTGCGCCCCTTCTTGTACGGTTTTACCCAAAATTCACCAATTTTCCACCCAATTTTCACATGAAAATGGAAGAGGGATCGGTTGGCCTCGTGGTAAGGGTCATTTTGACACTAACCTTGTCGTCCAAGGTGGCCGGAGATGGGAGAATTCACCGGATCGGGTCGCGGGTTGAGGGAAACCCGGTTCCCCCCCCCCCTTTTTCTTTTCTCCCTCCTTTCCCTTCCTTTCCTTCCTTTGATTGGTCGCCTTCACTCTCTCTCTTCCTACCCTTGGCCGAAGCTCTCTCTCCCTTCCACTCTCATTGGGCAGCCAATAGCCCTTCTTCTTTCCCCCCCCCCGCCCCTATTTCTTCTTCTCCTTCCCTCAATTCTTATCAAAGTTAATCTTAAAATAATGTAATGGTACTTAAAAAAATATAAAATAATAAATGGTAATATCAATACCCCAATCCGCTTCTACTTGCGTCTACGCGATCGTATTGTCGAGTACTACAGAAATACGCTAAATGAATATTTCATACGTCTCACTATATGTTGGTCAACGTAAGTCAATACCCTCGCCTCTCAGGGCATTTTTGTAAATTCACATCTTTAAAATTTATAAAATTCTAGAATTAGGGACGGGTTGTCACATATAAGATGAAAGTTGCTTCAAGGCACGTAAAAATCTATGATTATATTTCAGATGTAATTTACCCTTACAACTTGTGTGCAAATGAAAGGTGCGAATTAGTCACGTGGATACAATGAAACTCGGCTTAATGCCTAATAATTGTCGAGATCCCCACACTCCTAAGATAATCCCCAAATACACCAAGAATACGAAGAGGTTCAAGTACCACCAAAACAAAATCTGCATAAATTTTTGTTTTTGGTGCTTTGGTTTTCAATGAAAAAGTAGAGATATTTGTGAGACTTTTCATTGAGCGTTTGTAGGAACTTTTATAGAGGTTTAAATGTCGCATTCTGAATTAGGTTACACAATCTTTCAAAAGTGTATGTCGCACCATTTGGTTAGGAAGCACCACTTATATGAAATATTATTCATTAACTAAACTAACAAAATTTTAACAATAGGAGTTAGCAGATTTTCTTTATAAGTGTTATTTGCTAACTCGTTTGACACTTTTATGCTACTTTAAAAATGTCACTCCGAAAAAATATGTCACACCGAACTACTCTTCAACAAACTCTTCAAATTTTATCTTTCACTTTAAAATGTTATAATATCTTAATTTTACCATATTTTGTGGGGCCTAAATTTTATTTTCAAACACTTCATTAAACAATAATTTTAAATAAAATATATTGTGTGACTCAATTTGCTAACTTGAAGAAGTAACCACTGACCTTGAGAATATACAAAATCAGTTGCTAATTAGGTGGCTAAGTCCATTGGAAATGCGTTTTTTTTTTTTTTGGATAATGTCTTGGAGACTAAAATTTTACTTAAATTTGCAAACAAAATGATGTATTACTAATAGAAAATAAATACGTTAATCGGTACTTAAGTAATAATCCAATCAGCGATATCGACATCATTTGATTTATAAATTTAGTTTAGAAATTTGATCAACCTAGTATTATCCTTTTTCTTATAATCTCCAATGCTACGCAAATGCTACCTCCTTGGAGATGTTGGTAATTGGTGAGGGTTGATTTGTAAACATGGAAACAAAGGGAAAGGGAAAGAGACCCAAAGTGTTTGGGTTTGCTTATTTGTAACTTTTCGTCGGTATTATCCCCTCCCCTCTGGAGTCTCTGACCCCTCTGCATTATTGTTGTACAAGTACAAGCTGCTAAACAACGGACAAGAAGCAAAAGGCTTGTTACATAAACCCTTAAAATTATGGAGGAGAATGTTGTGGTCCTCACTCTCCCACTTCTCCTCCTGATCCCTCCTTGTGCTGCTTCCCTTCTACTTTTTACTCTCCCCCTCCTCTTGTTCCGCTAATATCTTCCTGCTCTTTCTTCCTTCCTTCCTCATCTCTTTTTTACTAAAAAAGGTGATATATATCATCTGGGGTCGATCCGTTGATGGAGGGAATGAGTAAGTTGGACTTGAACAAGCAGATGGGGGAGAAGCCGCGGGTGGTGGCGGTGGTGAAGAAGGAGGAGGAGGAATTTGATGGTGAGCTGCAAGTAGACAGGAAGAAGAAAGGAGGCTTGAAGAGATCGTTGTCCTCGTCCTTGTCATCCGGTGGAGGAGGAGGCGGCGCGATGAGACGGTGTCAGGCGGACAGGTGCACAGCTGATCTGAGTGAAGAAAAGCAGTATCATAGAAAGCATAAGGTTTGTGACCTTCATTCCAAGTCTCAGGTTGTGCTTGTCTCTGGCCTCCACCAAAGGTTTTGCCAGCAATGCAGCAGGTAATCATTTCCCACTTCCCACTTATTGCAATCTTTCTTGCTGCAATTTTCATTTCCATTCTTTTGTTTCTGTTTGATTTTTCTTTTCTGCGGTATGAAAATGTGTAGTAATTGTTGCTCAGTTTATATATATATTTTTTTGGTTAAACGATAGATTTTGTTTAAGGCTAGCCGACATTCACCTCTCCTAGACCTTGCGTAAAGCGGGAGCGTAAAGCGGGAGCCTTGTGCACTGGGTATGACCTTTAAACGATAGATTTTGTTAGATTATATGTCAGATTAACCACTGAGGGGGTTGATCTCACGCCTTCTTGCAAGGGCTCAACACCTTTCCACCACTATGGTAAAGGGCCACTTGCTTGCTCAGTTTATATATTGGTTTTGCAGAAATCGCATAATTTGTTGTTGCCGGTTTCTTTTATGTGTTCCTGTGTGCGATTGATGCACATTGCTACTCTTCAATTTACATTTACTCGTGTCGTTGTATCGATCTCTGGCAATAAGTTCACAATTCAAAGTTGTATGGTTCTGTTTTTGTTCTTAATTTACTCTTTCCAATTTGTAATGAGGCTGAATCATTTAAGTATATCTACCAAGAATAGCAGTTTACTGGTACATTTTGTTTCACCAATGTTAAATAGTTTCTCTTGCAACATTTAAAACTTCAAATTCACCGATAAATAAGCAAGCATCCTGATGCCGAATGTTGTTGTGTTGCAGATTTCATCAGCTACCAGAATTCGACGACACCAAAAGGAGTTGTCGCAGGCGTCTGGCAGGACACAACGAACGACGAAGGAAGAATCCAGCCGAGTCTCATGCAGTTGAAGGCTCAAGCTGCAATGTTGGTGCAGGGACTCAGTTCAAGGATGTATGCGGGCAGGTCGATGACAGCGGAAGAATTCGGATAACCATTCCAGGAAATTCAATTCACAAGCATTTCCATATCAGATAAGATTTATAGCAAGCATGCTCCCTCTCTTCTGTCAGCTTAATTAGAGATGTATAATTATTAGATGTTGGATACTTGGCTTGTAACAAATTCAATTTCATGAAGTGTGTGTGCTAGGATTGCTGTTAACCGGCTGTGGGAAGGTATAAAACTTCTAAGTGATTTAGCTAGCTCTATAACTAATATAATTTGCAAGATTAGTACATTTCTCGTTTATGCGGAATGGATGGGAATAGAATGCCTCAATACTTCGTTGTTGGAGGTTGCATAGCAAACATTAATGGCTCGTTTACTGATCCGTAATCGAAATGAGAGGAATTGATAAGACAAAAGTTTAAGTGTTGTTTTCTCTAGATGTTCTCTTTTGTTTTCTTAAGTGGTACAGTTTTGGTGGTTTAAGCTTTGTGTAATCTGACTAAATGTTGATGGAACTGTTACTCATGGATATCCGGATGGTCGGCATTGATGTCCAAGTTGGGAAAATTGTGAAACGGAGGTCAGTAGGATAAGAGATCCTCTCGTGTCATTATTTCACCACATGTCATTTGTTCATTAGATAGGAAGTGCACTTTTTGAATGCATGACAAGAAGATGAAGCATGGCATAATTGGTAGGAGATAAGCAGAATATTCTTGTGTCAGGAGGGAATCAGGAATATGTCATAGCTCACTGACATATTCTTGTGTTCATAGCTCACTGACATATTCTTGTGTTCATATTCTTGTGTTCATAGCTCCTGGCATAGCTCACCCTCTATCGTCGAATCAGGAAGGAATAATTGGTTGTAGCTTTGAAGAAGATGAAGCATAGAAAAGCAGTTGGCCCAGACGATATACCGATTGAAGTGTGGAAAGCCTTGGGAGAGACAGGTATAGCATAGCTCACTGACCTTTTCAATAGGATTTTGAAAACGAAGAAGATGCCAAACGAGTGGCGAAAGAGCACCTTGGTGCCTATTTACAAGAATAAGGGCGACGTACAAAATTGCATGAACTATAGGGGTATTAAGCTAATGAGTCATACAATGAAGCTCTGGGAGAGAGTCATTGAGCATAGATTGAGGCAAGAGACACGGGTTTCGGACAACCAATTCGGGTTCATGCCAGGGCGCTCAACCATGGAGGCAATCTATCTCTTACGAAGATTGATGGAAAGATATAGAGATGGGAAAAAGGATTTACACATGGTCTTTATAGATTTGGAAAAAGCGTATGATAGAGTCCCAAGAGACATTCTTTGGAGGATTTTAGAGAAGAAAGGCGTACGAGTAGCATATATCCAAGCTATAAAGGATATGTATGAAGGAGCAAAGACTGCCGTAAGAACTCATGAAGGACAAACCGAAAGTTTCCCCATAACTGTAGGATTACATCAAGGCTCATCCTTAAGTCATTACCTTTTGCGTTGGTAAATGATGAGTTAACAGGACATATTCAAGATGATATTCCTTGGTGTATGCTTTTCGCAGACGATATAGTGTTGATAGATGAAACTCAGGAAAGGGTAAATGCGAAGCTTAACCGTTGGAGAGAAGTGTTGGAATCTAAAGGTCTTCACCTAAGCCGATCAAAGACAGAATATATGGAGTGCAAGTTCAGTGCAAATGGAGGCCAAAATGAGTTAGGGGTGAGGATCGGAGATCAGGAAATACCAAAGAGCGACCGTTTTTGCTACCTAGGATCTATCTTGCAAAAGAACGGAGAATTAGATGGAGATCTCAACCATAGAATACAAGCTAGATGGATGAAGTGGAAGAGTGCATCCGGCGTGTTGTGTGATCGTCGTATGCTACTGAAGCTTAAGGGAAAATTTTATAGGAGGGCAATAAGGCCGGCGATGCTGTATGGCACAGAATGTTGGGCGGTGAAGCACCAACACGTACACAAAATGGGTGTAGCGGAGATGAGGATGCTTCGTTGGATGTGTGGGCACACGAGAAAGGATAAGATTAGGAATGAGGATATCCGAGGTAAAGTATGAGTAGCCGAAATTGAAGGAAAACTGAGAGAAAATCGGTTACGGTGGTTTAGACATGTGCAAAGAAGGCCTACTGACGCTCCTGTTAGAAGATGTGACTACGGGACAGAGGTTTAGGGCCGAAGGGGTAGAGGAAGACCTAGGAAAACTTTGGAAGAGACTCTAAGAAAAGACTTAGAGTACTTGGATCTAACGGAGGACATGACACAGGATCGAGCACAATGGCGTTCTAAGATTCATATAGCCGACCCGACTCAGTGACTTGGATTTTTTCAAGTCTCTAATCGAGAAGTTTTTCCCCACTCGGGAAATTAAAGGAACACTACCTCAACCTACATGCTCCACTCACAAAGCTTCAACATACAAGCTTCAACAAAAGAAAAATTCAAAGAACTTAGTGAAGAAGGCTTTGGTGTATTTAACACAATACGTTGAAATGAAACAAAGCTTATTTATTGATATCTCTAAGAAGTTACAAATATGTACATATACACGAGTCAAAATAAACAAACAAGAGGGAGCCTTCACAAAGGTTGCTTAGGAGAAGTCTCAGCAGTCGGTAGAGCCCTAGAAAGAGAAGGCACCGGAGGGGGATCATTCGGAGCCTCAGTACTGGACAGCACCCTAGAAGGAGGAGGCATCAGAGGTTGATCATTTGGAGCTTCATTACGCGGTACAGCCCCAGAAGACGAAGGCAATAAATGCCTTTGGAACAAACCCACAAACCTCTGATGATCATGTAAAATTTGACCATCAGATTCCTTCATCTCGTCAAGCTTCCTCTTCATGTTTGTAGCATAGTCATGAGCGAGCCGGTGCAACTGTTTATTCTCATGCTTGAGCCCTCTAATCTCCTGTTTGAGACTCATCACTTCAGCCGCCAATGATTCAACTTGGCGGGTTCGAGCAAATAGGCGTTGGGCCATATTAGACACATAACCTGCACACTGAACATTGAGAGCCAGAGAATCCTTAACAGCCAACTCATCAGACCGTTTGGAAAGTAGTCTGTTATCTTTGGGAGTGAGAAGGTTCCTGGTCACCACCGCAGCGGTCATATCATTCTTTATCACGGAATCCCCAACGGTAAGAGGACCAGTAGGGAATAAGAAGGATGGGCGCCATATGTTGTCTGGAAAAGGCGTGGCTGCCTCTTCAACAAGGTTCAAGTCAAAACGACGGTCGGAGGGGCCAGACATTTTCAAAGGTGTTGAAGAGAAAAGAGGTCGGACAAATCAAGATCTTAGAAATGCAAGAAGGGAGCTTCTACTGGTGGAGATTCAAGTGTGCTTTGGAACTTAATACCAGCCTCTATAAAAATCCGCACTCGATGGAGCTTCAGAAATCGAAGAGGCGCCTGCTCAGAAATCGAAAAGGCGTTTGCTTTCTCAAAAGCTGGGCTGCTCAGAGACCACGAGGGCCGATCTCAGGAATCGAAGAGGCGTTTGCTTTCTCAAAAGCTGGGCTACTCAAAGACCACGAAGGTCGATCGCAGAAATCGAAGAGGCGCTTGCTTTCTCAAAAGCTGGGCTGCTCAGAGACCACGAGGGCCGATCTCAGAAATCGAAGAGGTACCTGCTTTTTCAGCCTTGTCAGCACCTGTCACATGCACACTCAACTTTGCGGAAATTACGGGCATTCTGTCGAAGATTTCTAGTGAAGTAGAAAGCACGTGAATGTTACTGTTCAATCATTCACTTTCTAGACGCAACATCAGCTCACGGGTACCACAGATAACTTTGCCAAAAATCTCTGACAAAGTTTAGACACGTGAAGCTTGCAGCTCCCATTACATCGCTATGACCAAGAAGGGTAAAAGAATAGCAAAGAAACAACACTGACAAAGTTTAGACACATAAATTTTGAAGGTCTAGCTACCATATTATTACCCACAAGGGTAAAAGAACAGGACCATTGCTGGATAATTGGAAAGTCCCTGTGGGTCAACCTCTATGCTCCGTGGCAAGGTAGACTAGCAAACAGGCCTAACCTTTACTCACATTCGAGAAAACACTCCCAACAAGATTGCTTGCTTCAAGATCGAAGAGGCACCGTCCTCCGAATCTCGAGAGCCAGACTCCCAACATGATTACTTTCTCAAAAAGCGACGAGACACCGTTCTTCGAATCTCGAGAGCCAGACTCCTAGCAGGATTGCTTTCTAAAAAATCGAAGAGGCACCGTTCTCCGAATCTCGAGAGATAGATCTCCGACAGGATTGCTTGTTCGAAAACCGAAGAGGCACCGCTTTCTCAACTTCGAGACCCCCTTAGATAAAGCTTGTCTGTAATCCTCACACCGCTTTCTCAACTTCGAGAGCCAGATCTCCTGGGATAAAACTTGTCTGTAATCTTCACACGTAACATCAACTTTCCAGATACCACAGACCACTTTTTCAAAGTGCTCTGACATAGTTAAAACACGTGAAGCTGGCAGCTCCCACTACCGTGCTATGACCAAGCAGGGTAAAAGAATAGTATTACTCCTTGTTAGGGAGACTCCTATATATGTCGACCTCCATCCTCAACGGACAGGCAGACCTGCAAAAATGCTCAACCCTTCCTCATATCTGAGAGGGCACTCCCGAAGCCTCTCGAAATACTCAGCTTTCTTTCCCCCCGAGAATACCTCTTCAAACAAGCTACACTAGAGCAAGAATATCTCATATCATCAGGGTTAAAAGCAAGAGTATCCCATATCATGCTTTTTCCCTGTCTTTTCCTTTGGCCTTGTTCTTACCTGCAAGACAAGGAGAAAGAGAGCAATCAGTCAGCACTTGGAATCAAGCTTCCAGTCCGGAACTAACTGCCTGGAACCCCATTGCTCTCGAGTACTCATCTTCAACATCTTATGCTTCCCGAGAATATACCACATCTGCCTGAGGAACAAATAGGGCAAGTGAGAAGGATACAAGGAAGCATGTGGAGACAAGCGCAACAGAACACGTGCCGATACATCCACTACTTTGTCAACAGCAAAAGTATCCCATATCAGCAGGGTCGAACGTACTCTAGATTTGATGGACTTGTTTTGACCCTTAAATTCTTCAGTCGGCCTTATACTCTGGCGGAAACAAGAAAACCCTCCAGCCCAGTTCAAGAATAAGCCTGTGGAAAGTTACTTCTTCAAAAGCAAAAGTATCTCATATCACAGTTTCTCATTTTCTTCTCTTTATCCTTCATGCTACCTGCAAGATAAGGAGAAGGATAACAATCAGCCGAAACTCAAAATCAAACTTCTGATCTGGGACTGATTGCTTGGAGCTCTGTTTGCTTACCTTGTCTGTCACCTCTTTCAGCATATCCTCTAGCTCGGCGACTTGGGGGACTCCTACTACATGGTTTGTATCGCGCTTGACCAAGCCTGAAACTACAAGTAAGCGTCAAGTGAAATTGATACATTACCTTGTGCATCTCCACCAGTTAAAGATACCACCCCTGGAGGGAGGAAGAGTACTTCCAAAGAAGATGCCACATCTACCTATGAGACAGATAAGGCAAGTGAAGACGATACCACACTTCGGTACTTAAAAGTTTCGTGATTACGAGATCATTCTTCTACAATATTTCCTAATGTCATTTGTACTAAATCATTCACTTGTACTCACTAAAGGAGAGCTTGAACCTATATACTGTGTAAACCCTTCACAATTAATGAGAACTCCTTTACTCCGTGGACGTAGCCAATCTGGGTGAACCACGTACATCTTGTGTTTGCTTCCTGTCTCTATCCATTTACATACTTATCCACACTAATGACCGTAGCAATCTAGCGAAGATCACAAACATAATATTTAAGATGATATTCTTTGGTGTATGCTTTTCGCAAACGATATAGTGTTGATAGATGAAACGCAGGAAGGGGTAAACGTGAAGCTTAACCTTTGGAGAGAAGTGTTGGAATCTAAAGGTCCTCGCCTAAGCCGATCAAAGACAGAATATATGGAGTGCAAGTTCAGTGCAAACGGAGGCCAAAATGAGTTAGGGGTGAGGATCGGAGATCAGGAAATACCAAAAAGCGACCGTTTTCGCTACCTAGGATCTATCTTACAAAAGAACGGAGAATTTGATGGAGATCTCACCCATAGAATACAAGCTGGATGGATGAAGTGGAAGAGTGCATCCGGCATGTTGTGTGACCGTCGTAGGCCACTGAAGCTCAAGGAAAAATTTTATAGGGCGGCAATAAGGCCGGCAATGCTGTATGGCATAGAATGTTGGGCGGTGAAGCATCAACACGTAGGTGTAGTGGAGATGAGGATACTTCGTTGGATGTGTGGGCACACGAGAAAGGATAAGATTAGGAATGAGGATATCCGAGGTAAAGTAGGAGTAGCCGAAATTGAAGGAAAGAGGAGAGAAAATCGGTTACGGTGGTTTGGACATGTGCAAAGAAGGTCTACTGACGCTCCGGTTCGAAGATGTGACCACGGGACAGAGGTTCAGGGCCGAAGGGGTAGAGGAAGACCTAGGAAAACTTTGGAAGAGATCCTAAGAAAAGACTTAGAGTACTTGGATCTAACGGAGGACATGACACAAAACCGAGCGCAATGACGTTCTAGGATTTATATAGCCGACCCCACTTAGTGGGAAAAGGCTTTGTTGTTGGTGTTGTTGTTGTTTTTGAAATAGGAGAGAGGAAGAGAGTGATAGAGAATGTGGAAGTGGGTAGGTTTTTTTTTATTTTTTTATTTTTTAAATTAGAGATATGTTAGAATTAAATGTAGGTGAGACTTTGAAAAAAAAAACAGTAAAATTTGGTTGTATGAAATTACATTTTTGCCCCATATTTCTTATTCATGTTCCGTTTTAATTAGAGAGTTAAACTGGTAATTTCATAAAGTTTTGATTGACAATGAATTTTTTATTAATTAGTAGAGATTATACTACCGTTCTTCCTATTAAGGATGAAGTTTATTTAGATTTTTTTTTCTGATGTGACATCATTTAGCGGTATAAATACCATAATTCGAACTCTTTGTTCTCTTTTCAACAATTAAAGATCATCTTTTGAAAACAAATAATTTGTGTAGACATCGAAATTTCGGTAAATAAATGTTGACCGATAAATCAAAGTTTCAGCGCTCATGTATTACATAAATTTTACACGTAGCGTGTGTCTAAACAAAAAATCGAGAATCATCGAAAAAGTCATCAAACATGACACGTGTCAACACTTGGCAGAAACGACTTATTTCATCTGGAATATTATATTCAAAATTAGGCCTTGGAAAATTCTATAAATAGAAGCCAATTTCATTCATTTGGGAAGGAATTCATATTATACCTTGAAGCTCTGAAGCTCTGAAACTCCGAATCTCTCAAGCAAATCCCGAAGGATCAAGAAAGCCCTTTTCGTTCTTCATCAAATCCTCCTTCAAGATCAAGCCCCAACGGCCCTTGAAGAACAATCCACCGATTCAAGATCAAGCCCCGACGACCCTTGAAGAAAGTCGTTCTTCGTTCTTCGTTCTTCGTTCGATCATTCTTCCAAGATCAAGCCCCAACGGCCCTTTGGATCAACAATCATCCACCAATTCAAGATCAAGCCCCGACGGCCCTCGAAGAAAGTGTTCTTCGTTCTTCGTTCATCGTTCTTCCAAGATCAAGCCCCAACGGCCCTTTACACCAACAATCATCCACCAATTCAAGATCAAGCCCCGACGGCCCTTGGATCAACAAGCCACCGTTCTTCAAGATCAAGCCCAAAAGCCCTTGAAGATCCGTTCATCACTGTTCTTCAAGATCAAGCCCAAAAGCCCTTGAAGATCCGCTCATCACCGTTATTCAAGATCAAGCCTCAACGACCCTTGAAGAAACACTCATCCTCAAGATCAAGCCCCAATGGCTCCTTGAAGATTCGCTCAAATCCACCTTCAAAGATCAAGCCCACGGCCCTTGAAGAAACTTCCAACAGTTCATCCAAAATCAAGCCTCCACGGCCCTTGGATCAACAAAATATCCATAAATCAACACCTTACGGAGATCGAATCAGAGGATCAAAATAGAGAGAGATTGTAACCCAAAATCATCAAATACAAATATTATTTTGTGCACGTTGTTCTTGTCTCTTTCGTTTCAGGAAAATTTCGTGTTTACAATTTGATTTAGAGATCATTTAACCACCCATTTATAATATATCCAACGAATCAACTATTATGTTAATAAGTACCATCTTTATAGTAAATTAATAATTTTTAGATTTATATGGATGACTAAATGGTCTTCAAAATTAAATGAATTTTTCTTAAAATAATCTTTAGATGGTAATATGGAAAATAGACCGTTCAAACTATAAATTTGTACCGTGAATAACATTTTAATGAAAATTTTAAAAATATAACCAAAATTTAGAACCCATATAGAATTTTAACTACTCTTTTAAATTTGTTATAATTGTAATCAAAATTTGATTTTACTAAATATACCCTGAATGATAAAAAATATAAAATAATTAGATATTTTCTTTCGTTGGATCGATATATTAAAAAAAAAAAAAAAGAGGACAACTAGTGACAAGTCATGATTATCCATTCCTTTCGAGCCCAAGAAAGATTATGAGAAATTTCACCTTACTTATGGCAAACAGACTCAGCAGCTCAGAGCATCGAACTTAAAACTGTCCATATTTTCTTTCTTCTAATCAACAACTACGATTATTCACCGATTTCGAGCCCAAAAAAGTGACTCAACAGCTTAGAACGTAGAACTCGAAACAGTCCATATTTTCTTTCGACTGATCGATAACTAGCCAATTTTTTTTAACTTTTTACGGTTCCTGTAAATTTGGTTATTTTATTCTTCTATTAGGCAAAAGCAGCGTGTGTGTGCGAGAGAGAGAGAGAGCGAGAGAGAGAGAAACGCCTTCACACAGAGACACATCCACCGATCCATAGATCTGTGTGTGTTTCCATCGATCTGTGTCTGTGTTATCGTATGCAATAGAATACCTCAATGCCTTCACAGAAGCGTTCGTCACCAGAGCAGCACAGCGACGATGAAGACCATCGCCACCACCAACGACCCAAGCAATCTCGACCGCAAGATGAACACCAACTGCTGCAACAAGAAGAAGAAGAGGAAGAAGAAGAAGTAGCAGTAGAAGAAAAAGATGAAGACGACGAACACGATGCCGGTTACATATCATCTCTCTCTCCCAATCCCTATTTCATCTGGGTCCTCTTCTGGTTCTCGATTGATTAACTTAACAAGTTTTTTGCTTTATTTTCCCACTTCAGATTCTGATGCTAGCGCATCTTCTACTTCTCAAGAAACTCCCGAGTACTCTCTCCCTCTCTTTTACTTTGTTCAATGTCGTACTTAAATATCTTATTTGGGTAATAGCTAGCTAGCTAGTTGTAGATTCATGCTGATTCTGCCACCATTTTCGAGCAGTTTATGAAAGCTCAGTGTGTTGAATGTTGATGGGCTTTCGACGTCTCTTGGTATAGTAAATATTGAAAATTGGTTTTGATTTGATAAATATCGGTTCGTCGTTGGTTGTCAAATGGGGTATTACCTACCAAATTGTGGTTCTGCTTGATATAATGCTTGAGTGATTGTTCTATGTTGGGATCTTGTGCTTGTATTCACCGATATATTAAAATTCGACAAGGCAGTGACTAGTTTTCTGATTTCCTATTTTCTGGTAATGTTCTGTTACAAACTGTTCTTGTGCATCATCTAACTAGTGATATATATATATATCTGTGTGTGTGTGTGTGTGTGTGTGTGTGTATTAATGTATATATATAATTTGAATATTGCACCTTTTTGTATTTCTGAGAAATGAGTCTATGTACTTCTTGTGCCCTTGCAGATTATATTCATACAACTGCCAGAACTCCGTAAAGATGTACACTGTCCAATATGTCTTGGTAACTTTTGCTTCTCAACCTTTTGAGTTTAAATGAGATGTCATGCTTTAATCTTACAACTGCTATGTGTTCACTTACTGGACTCAACTGATGAAGATTCCCCCTTGTGGCATATGGATTTTTTTCTCTCTCTTTCTTTTCTGCCCAGAAAACATGAGTGTTGCTTGCTTTAAGGTTGTAAATAACAATTAATTATTGCACTACGATGTAATGCACCTGCATACATAGCTTAATTACTAATTCACTTTTCTTTTCGATGGTGGTTAACTGCTAATTTTGCAATGCACTTGGGTTCTTGTTGTTGCATTGCATGCCTGCATTGTTGTCATCGATTCTCAGTGAGGTAGTGAATGAATTGTCTTTTGCCGATTCTTTTAGTGTTCGTTGTAGTTCCACCACTGTCTTCAAACTATAAAATTCAATGTGGTATCTTCTGAGGCAAACTGTGTAGGGCCTGCCAGGTGAATAATTTGGTTGGCTCCATACATCCTTCATCTTGTCAACAAAACTGACTATCAGTTTGTGATTAGTCTATAACAAGAGGAAGGCTAAGAAGGGTGTGACTTAGTTGAAGAAGTGAGAAAACCTTGGTGATATATTGTTTTGCAAATGGCATGCCGTTGACAGATAGCTTGATAGGTTTATAGAAGATTCATTCTGAATACTGAGAAACAGAATTACAAGATATTCAGCAAACAGTGGCAGGTGGGAAATTACAAGGATATAAATATTTGGAATGAATCTTCTCTAAACCATAAATAGAGAACCAGAATTACAATGATATAAATATCCAGAATGAATCATCTCTGTCTAGCTGCCTCTGTGAGAGGATTTGGAAGTATAACAATGATTTTTATGTAAATGTGAGATTTTGGTGCCTGATAGGTTGTGAAACACCAGAATCAAGTTCTTCTTTGGTGATGGTTAATCCATAGTAGTTGCCCACCCTGCTTCCACAAGAAAGCAGACTGTAGCATACCTTCTACCCGCCACCACTCCTAATCACCTTTGTGCCCCCAACGAGGGTTCCCAGTCATGGCCAGCTTCTAGGGATGCTTTACCTTCTTATTTTTCTCAATTTCGGTCATAAAACCATGCTTTTATGTATTTCCTGTCTACGCACATGTGCTAAAGGGTTTTTTTGACCTTCTTTTTTCTTGCTTGATGCTGAATTCTTGGCAGGCCCTTTGTTCTGGCCCTTCTAGTTGCTGATTGGAATTTCTGCCTCATTTTTTGGGGCTATATGGGACTGTTTTGAAATGCTTTTTGATGCTCTTGGGTCATTTTTAAAGTTTTTGCTGCTGTTCTGCAGTTGCTTTCTTAATTTGTTTCATCTAGGTTCTTCGGTTCTGTTTCCTGTATTCTTCTGTTCCAGATTTGTTCCACTCTATCCAAGATGCTTTTCTTGTAGTTTTATTTTGTTAAACTTTGTTTGAGTTTACTTGTAGGGCCTCTATTTCATTCATTGGGTACTAGCTAAGATTGTGTTCTATAGTGAAAGAGAATGAAAAGTCTCTGTTAGGCAGTCAGGTTGATTCCAAGGTGACCCAAGTTTATGTCATTATGCACCTGCTTAACATACTAGTACCATTTCTGAATGGTTGGAAGTTAGCATCATGTGTACAATTTGTTCCCCTCTATCTTGGCAGGAGGGGAATTTCTGATTGGTTATTGGATACTACTACCAAGAAGTCGAGGGAGACAGACATCTTTTGCTCTGTGCAGTATGTATAACTGTATCATATTGTTCTGGTGTTTCAATTAGACAAAAAGAATGGCTCTGCAATATTTCATGTTTCATAATACTGTTGATGGCCCACGAATAGCTGCTAGGCAGGTGTATGTAAATGTTTGAATGCAGAGATTTGTGGGTCTATACAGATATTGCAGAGACTTCTTAAGGAAGACTTAGTGCTAGACTACTACATGGGTGTCTAAAGACTTAATGAAAATTTGAAATTTTAAAAACTATACAGAGACTATCTTCTTCTTTAGGACATGGAGTATTTATTGAACTTAGAGCATCGAACAATTAGGTGATCTTTTTGGGATTTGAAATTTTGACAGGAGTAAGCATTGTTTGAATCTATCAATTATTGAAGAGACGATATTAGTTGAATTTAACATACACATTGAAGACCTGTATAGTTTTTCCAAGATCTAATACCACCTTTCCCCAGAAGTTCTCATTAAACATCACCAGCCATTTAGATGTGTATTTCTAATGTTCTGGTAAACTACCATGTTGTCGCAGTTTTGTTAAAGAAGACTCTGATTCTGCTTCTTGTTTCATCTCTTGTTGCTTGCTTACATTTCCTCTTCTGCTATCCATAATGGGTTATCAATCTAGTAAGCAATCATTTTTTGATTTCTTCTCCTGGACAGGAATTATTAAGAAAACACGAACTGTAATGGGATGCCTACACAGGTTTTGCAGGGAATGTATCGACAAGTCAATGCGAATGGGGTATATACTGTTGAGCGCTTTCCCTCTTAACTTTTTGTTATTCTCTGATTAAAAGAATGAAAAAATATATTAGAATACGAGTTGAGAACCAATCAAGTTTATTTATTTAGCTTGATATATAATTTCAGGAACAATGAGTGTCCTGCTTGTCGCACACACTGTGCAAGTCGGCGTTCATTGAGAGATGATCCAAAGTATGATGCCCTAATAGCAGCTTTATATCCAGATATTGAGAAGTATGAGGAGGAGGTATAAGTTTAGCTGTTGTACTTTTATGTTTTGTAGAACATTGACAACTGAAGTAGAGAGGATACTTCAAATTAGTGTCATTACAATGAACTTTTAAGTTCATAAACTTGAATGGATGAATATCAAATTATTAACAGATTATATTTTTTTCATTTGATACATTTTTGGACTATAAGATATTTAAATAACAAATATGCCAGTTATGTTGTTAGTTGATTTGTCACCGACATGATTTTTGCTTAATTAAGTTTTAGTCAACCGCACAATACACACACACACACACAAACACAATAAATGAATGAGTAGGAATTTAATTTGTTCTCAAATTTATTTCTCAAAATGCTAGTTAGGTATTTTTGTTTTGTGAATGTTACACATGTTTTTGTCTTCATATAGATGAGTGTAGTCTAATAAATTTGCAACATGGTTCAGGAATTGGCTTTCCATCAGGAGGAGAGGACTCGGAACGAGCAGGTTAGTTTTCTTTTGTTTTTTTGGGTAAAAGTTTTCTTCCTAAGATTTGGATGGTGGTGTTTTCTTCGCTGACAATTTTAATTATGAAGTATCGCATAGCATCTTTCTTGGGACATGCCACTACCCAAGAAATATGTTCTCCAGATATGGTAATTATTTCACATTACAATATGTGGTTTTATCAGTAAGAAATTATCTTCAAACCATTAAGCTTAACCCTCGCCCAAAGAAAGCAGGCCTTTTCCCCTCACTCTAAGATCTGCTTGGTGGAACATGTCAATGAGCCTACTCTTTGATCCCCAAGGACCAACGCAATGGAGCAAGACCAATGACCTTACGTGCTTTTTAATGTTTTTTTTTTTTATAATTTTTTTGGCTCTCTAAATAGGTTCATACTTCATACTGAGTTTTGTTCCTGTTTCCATATTATTGCTCCAATACAGATCCAAGCATCAATTGCCAAAGTTTTTGAACAACAATCAGAAGCTCTAATCAAGAGACGCGCATCTGGAAAAGATACACCAGATTCGTTTCCTGTGAGACCGCAGCGCAATAGTCGGAGTTCTGTTTTAAGGAGACGGAACTCTCGAGCCACTGATATTCAAGGATATAAAGACAATGAGGATGATAATGACAATGACAATAATAACATGGGCAAAAATTTATCTTCCACTGATGACCGGCGTGAAGTTAGGCCAAGACGGCGGAGAAGACGGGCAGGATTTCGATCCTCTCAGCCTACTTCATCTCTGGCCAATTCAAGTGGAGGATGCACTGAAAATGATATAGAAGGGAAACGAGAGAACCACGGAATTTCACCTGGTGTTGTCTGGAGCTCTGAAATGCTTGTTTGGGGGCGGGGTGGTGCCCGGAGTCACACACGGCATGGCATTGCTAGTGGTTGCAACAGTAAGAATTCTCGGAGCACTCGCATTTCGAAGTTGGTTGATTATCTCCGGAGCTTAGAGGAAAACAATGATGAGGTATAGAGAAATGCTGTTGGACTATTTGTTTGGTCGTTAGTAGGTCCATTAATTGCATGTGCCACCCATGCAGTACTCTTGCTGAATTTTAGTTTCTCCAGGGCAGATGGAATGAGATACTATCATACAAATAACTAGTTATTCTGGGTTTCTCTGAGCACCACATTGACCAAATTATAAACTGCACTGCTCTCTTTTTTGTGGTTTTGTTTCCTCTGATGAAATACTTCTTCGTCTGCAGTTAGATGTTCATCTCTTGCTTGTTCCTAAGGATACAAGTCGTACACCAAAGTTGCAGCAGCCACACCTTTGCTGTCGGCCGAGTTTGTCAGTGAAGCACCTTTGTGAAGTAAGAGTATTCTCCTGATATTACTAACCTTAAACTTTTAAAGATGTAAACTTCATTTGGCAGACTTCCTTTGACTATGTAGCATGCAAATTTTATTCTTATGCTTGTTTGGATGAGAGTTATAACGCCTTGTCTGTGAAACTTGCTTGTTATGCCTCTTTACCTCATCTTGTGCTGGAATATTTGTGTGCATACAATTGATAGAAAATATATACTGGATTCATTTGAAACTCTGACTAGCCTTAAATTTTCTAGGAGCTTTGGTTCATTGTCAAAATGTTAATCTACCGCTCTATATATTTGGTATTGTTCTATTTTACAAAATATTTCCAGTGCCTGTGTAATTTTTATTTTCTGTACAGTATGTTTCTCACCAGACGTCGTTGAGGGCTGAAGAAGTTGAATTATTAGAAGTGCCTCAGAGTTTCAATCACATTTCTGATGATGAGGAATTGGATCCGGATTCTGTGATAGATCCGATCAAAAATGACCTGAAAATTCTGCAAGAAGAAGAAACTTTGGCAGAGGTTAGAGCCAATAGCATTTCTTGCAGGGACTATTTGGTGAGTAGACATAAGAAGGGTTCTTGTCCAAAATTTATAGCACATACTGTGCAAATAACAAAATGCATTAGCTGGTTGAATTTTTCTCTTATTTAACCGGAAGGAACACTCCGACATACATCGTTGCATTACATTTGATTGTTTTAAACTGCGCGAAGTATATAATATGAGTGGGTTTGTTACTCTTTTCAGATTATAGCATACAGGCGGAAGGAGATTAGTTAGAAAATTGTGAACTTGCCAAATGAATTCGGACGAGAAAATTGTTATATTGGCCGTTGATATGCTGTAAATGTGGTTGAAGATATATAGATACCGGGATGCATTGATCCCCAGTTGAGACATTGTTTCCTGTATTCTTTGTGTTGTAAAACACTTGTTTGTATTAATAGTTTAATTTTGTGTTCACAAGTTGTGTGTAACTAAGCTAATGCAGGTTCATGAAACGCCTGGCCTCTCGTTTTATCTCGGGTTTTTTAGCTGCTCCAAATGTGAAACGGAAACACGGAGATGGTGATGGTGAAGCAGAATGAACTTGTTCCGTCCTCCGGGACTCCTAACAGCTGAGAAACAACGTGAAGCTTCTCTAGAGCAACAAAGTTTAATTGAAAATGAAGCAATCAAAGGAAGAAAGCTTCGTGGCTTTGAGTTTTCGCCTTTTCGGATAATTTGCTTTTCGTCCATCTGCAGGGTACAATAATACCGAAAGAATTACGCTATGTTTAACATTGATATAAGAATTGGTTTTACATGGTAACTGAAACTTTACAGCAAAAGAATTGCGATCGGTCGCCTTTAACAGAATGGTACACTAATGCTGCTAGTAAAAATTGGATCACATCAACTCGAACGGCCCTTGTACAGGGTTCAAGAGTTCTTGAACAACAGCCACACATGGTAATGTAGGGAAAGGTTTCATCGCATCTGTGCTGCAGCGCTGGAAACTGCAGAGTTGATCATCATTTTTCGTCTTTCTTTTCGCTGGAGCACACGTAGATGTGGTGATTTCGGTTTTGTTGCTTCCCTTGGGCACCTATTATATCACAAAACGCACCAATCAATCAACTAGTCATTGAAATAATGCAGCAGCAACAGTTAAGATTGCATTCTTCCTTACTTTAGGGGACAAAATGGATGCTCAAAGTTGGGCACCGGCCTTGCATGGGGTACCAATGTCCTTCTGAGTTGTTTCAGTGCCTTTTCTTCCTCGACCTGCAAACAGTAAGTAGACAATTTTCGAGTACATGTCAGTTTAAATGATGCAAGTTTACTAACAACTATGCAGCAAAAAGTACGTATGAAAAACACACATACCATTCTCGCTGCCTCGCTCTCTTCTCTGTATCTCTTGTACATCATCTCTTTCTCCCTAACCTTTTGATCAAATTCGGCTCTATCAACAGCTCGATGATCAACTTGGAGATTGAACTCCTGAACTTGGGTGAGAGGCTTGCGCTCTTTTTCGGGAACAGGAATTGGGTCCCTGCATACAAACAAAGGGATATCAGTCACTCGTCTCTTTAAGACTTGGACAATCAAATCCTGAACAATGTAAGTTTGTTTACTCTTTCAAGATTGGTTGTGCCTTGAACACTCTTATCTGGGCTTCTTCTTTCTCCTTCCGCTGTCTTTCTTCCATTTCCCTTTGCAATTCCTCCTCATGCCTCACTAAACTCTCTAGTTGGAAAGGTTCTGGTTTTGTGCATTGCTTGGGCTCTGGCTTGGGTGGGATCTGCATTAGAACAACAGGAATCATCATTTAACCATCATTGTTCCAATTTCGTGTAATTAAACTCAGAAAAACAAATTAATAAGTATCTGTACCACAGGGTAATCTGTAGTATAAGGATATGGATTAGCTTTTGGAACCCTTGCTCTTTCTTCTTCCAATTGCTTGTGCCAAACTTCAGTAATGAATTTCCTTTCTTTCTCGGCCCCTCTTTCCTGATGACGTAAACAAAAACCAATACGCAGGTTGTGAGCAGACTGCATGCCTCACTGAATGACCCTAACTTCTATAATGCTGGAGGAAACGAAAGGAATTATCATACCTCTGTGTGGAGATGGAATGGGTTTGGCATTGTGTTTCTCGGAACTGGATTATGGTGAAGCTCTGAGTTTAGCGACAGCTGGAAAACAAAACAAATGATGCATAAGAGAAGCTGTACAGATACTACTTTTCTTTGGTATGCTACGTCTGCAGTAGGATCGGTAAGAATCGTTTCACTTACTTTATCAAGTAGATCAACAACAGACGAAGATTGCAGCGGTATCCTTTCATTTGTTGCAAAATGGAATTCCTGAGGTTTGGTCACATGTTTCTTTGCATTACAGAACACCCCCATATCTCCTTTACTTTCAAATATCTGTGAACAATGTCCAAAAGGAAAGAACATTTTGATAAATCAGTTCAATTCCTAATGTTTCCAAGATGAATACCCATCAAGCAGAATTGAAGGGCTGGACTGGACATACCTTCTTATTCAAAGGCTTGGCCTTGAATTTTGGGATTCTTTCGAGTTCTTCCTGTTCAATTTCCAACGAACTTTTCACCCTGGGTGGACGAGCCCTCAATGATGTGTGTAGCATAGGGGTTTTAGGTTCAGTAAGATGATGAGGCTTCCATGGATTATTCTGTATTTCAACACAGAAAGAGAACATTGTCAATGAGATACCTCAACTGGCTTATCGAGAACAAAAAATGGAAATAGCAAATCTGATTCTGTCTATACCTGACGAGACATTTCGGTTGAAGCTATCGAGGATGTTTCTGCATTCTGATTGGCCCTTGCCATTGTCTCCAAATGGAATTCCTGCAACAATTAGACATAAGAGACTTATAATCACCACTGCAACATTGTATGTCCTTTTTTCTAATATCCAATCCACAGCAACTTACGTGAAATTCCGGTGGCTGGGGCGTACTTCTTGGCATTGCAGGCAATGATGGGGATTCTAGAATCTGTAATGAGCAATAATGATCCAATAAACCCAACAGATATATACCGCAAATGAAACAGAAGAGTATAACATTACAAGTTACCTTTTTGTTTAATGGTCGAGCCTTAAACTTTGGAATTTTAGCCATCATCTCTTCTTCAAGCTCAGCAGTACTCTTTACTTTCACTGAGCGAACACGCTGGGATGTTTCAAATTCAGGCTCCTTAGGCCTAGTCAAGGTGAGTTTGGGTTTCGTCTGAAAAATATAAACAGCATCGATCTTTCATCATTAACATGAAAAATATGTGGAGGCATGAAAAAGAACTCAACGAGGCAGATGGAGAAAGATGCTTTACATGCGGCAATGACAAGTCTCTGGTACTTGATTGGAACCTTTTCATCATTTCGGCCATCGAAACAAATGGTGATGCAGGTTCCCTAACATAAACTTTTCGGTCCTCTTTTTTCAAAGCAGCTGAAGAACATGTATGACCCAGTTTTGACTTGTGGGGCAATGCGTGGGGTTTGGGATTAAGAATCTGTTTTTTTTAGAAGACATAAGGGAAAAGAATTAGGGTAAATTCTGTCACAGTCAAGTCGAAAAAGCGGTACAGGAGTAAAGGTTACCTGTCTAGATCTTCCTTCGTCCAATTTCTGCCGCTTTATCGCCTGATTTTCCTGAACTAAAAGTGGAGTTCCAGTTGCATTCTTCACATGTGTTTCTCTAGAATTTCAAGTTAAGTAGCTAATCAGTCATGACTGTTAGAATAAATCAACACATCAATCAGGAAAAACGTACACACACCAACCTTTTCACACTATTTGGTTTAATGTTTTTCGTTTGGGATGATTGTAAGTGACTTTTTTGCTTCAGTGCTGATGGGTTTCTGACCATGCTTGCTATTTTTTTAGCAGTCTGGTGCTTCGTGGAATAACTCATGGGTGGTTTTGGAGTGCAAGCTTCAATTTCAACTTGAATGATAGGTTTACTATTCTCCTTACCACTGATCAAAACAGCTTTCTTATTTGAAGATACTGTACCCAAAACACTGCAAAACAGAAAGTAGTAAGGAATAAGAAATCGTCGAGCTCAACGTTATATTCTAATCCACTAGTACGAGTCAAGAGACTCAAGACAAAGCTTAAGAGGACCCCTAACCTTCCATTTCCACTAGTGCATTTGTCTTCGTCTTTGTCAACTTGGCTAATACTCTTATCAGCTGAGACCTAAAGGAGTTAAGAGTATGATTAGATGCCAAACGCAATCAAGAAAAATGGTTTTTCAGAAGAGTAAAGTTGAAATTAATACTATGAATTGGCTTATGTTGCCTTCTTCTTTCGCTTCCCTGGGGATTGTTTCGACAACTTCAGCAGGCACGATCTCTGATTTAGGCTCAGTTTCGATAGACTTATCAGCAACTACAGCAGGCATGATGTCTGATTTAGGCTTAGTTTCGATAGACTTATCATCAGCTTTTAAGTCAGATGATGATTCCAAGTTCTGCAAACCATAAACAACCATGAAGTTAGAGAGTTGCAAAACAAATCCAAGTTCTATAGTAAAGAACAAAAGGATGTAAAACACTACCACATTCTGCATTTGCTCTGCTTCACCAAAGTCACACATGCTCTCGATCGTAAAGGATCTACCAGCCTTGATCTTAGGCATAAAAGCTGCACAAAAATATACAAGTCCCATTACAAACAGAACATTGCCACAGTTCTTATTGATCAAAGACAAAAATCATCCAAAAGCACAAATTGAATATCCATTGTTCCGTCAAACGAAAATTCCAGGCAAGTTCATACCATAAAACCTAGTTCAAATTCTGCAACAAATTTGGGAAAGAAAGAACGGCAATCCAGAAAGTTTAAATCTAATTCCTTTTAACAAGTAACAACTTCCTTAAATGCCTAAGATTGTTGCCTAATTGAGAACTTTCTTGGTCTCTCTCAGAATCCCCTCTCTACTCTTAACAGAAAAAGTAAAAAGATATCAGCCCTTAATCTTCTGCGAGCAAACACAACCTAGCAAAATTTTCTGATAATCAAACTCCAAAAAGCAGAGCAAGCATCCAGATTGCGGTATCGCTTCCTAATCTATTTCAATTGCAAGAAACGTTTGGAATTGTGACAAAATTGGCCACGAAACCAAAATAAAAACCCTCAAAATCCAATAATTTTACAGAAATTTTACACAATTGAGGGAAGAAAAGCGAAAAGCCCTAAAATCCGAATCAACAGATCTGAGAGAAACCCTAACAAAGAAGACGCAATAAACACACAGATGTAAGGCTATAAAGCGCAATTGGAATAGAAGAAAAGTAAGGTAGAAAGAAGCATTAGGGAAGCAGACGTACGTGAAGGAGCATAAGCGAGAGCGCAGTCAAACCAGAGCTCGGCCTTGCGCCGGTCATCTTCGCTCTCGTCCCTTATGAAGTCGAAGAAGCGCGGAGCCGAGAACTCGTACG